ACAGACACCGCAAATTGAATCTTTGAGAACACATCACCCCCTGTTCTAGCATCACTTCACTGTTTGCAGTGACATTCCGTATTGAATTCAAGGTCACTACTTTTCTTCACATCCAAGGGCCCTAAATGATCTCGCACCTCCGTGTAGTTGAGAGCTTGCTGCGCCCTACGGCCCAGCAAGAACTCTGAGCGAGGTTCTTCTGCATCCCCAGAAAGGAAGGGCTCAGTCCAAGGGTCGATCCTCTGGGCCTGCGGCTTCCGTGGCTCCTGGACTGTGGAACTACGCTCTGCCAAAGGAGTCCGGTTCGGTTGGGAATTTCAAGTCCTGCCTAAAAAAAACCTCCTTTCAGAAGGCATCTTTTCTTATTTTAACTCAGAACCACGTCTTAACCACCCCTCCCCCACACACTCCTCCATTGTAATTGCGAGTATGCATGTTAAACTTCTTTCGCACCGTACACAGTAGCAAGCCGTGCTAATCTGAGGTGCGGGGGGAAGGACAAACTAAACACAACAAGCAGTTCTAAAGAAATTAGTTTTCAACTAATCTGAAAAGCGCAACATAAGCTATAATAATTATTATTAGTAGTAGTATCACTTGGACAGGAACAGCGAGGGTGGTTTTCAACACCGCAGTCGAGCACGAGAGACAGCATGGCCTCCTTGTGTACCCCAGCCGTGCACTGCTGGCAATCCCGAGATGGGTTCATCTCTCTCTGCACCCCACAGGCTTAGGTGGGTGGGGAGGGGTCGCTGTGTATTTGGGGAGGTGATTCCTCGATGCAATCGGTTCGGCTGCTTTTGCACCTCGAGTTACGGAAGAGTTAAGATTCACCTTCGGTAGTAAGTTACCTCGCGGGGCTGGGTCTTTGTTCACCGAACGGTTCTGACGGCACCGCGGTCCGTAACTCAGAATCGAGGTTTATTTATCGTGTTTAGGATCTTCCTGAAGGCGGTTTCAGGTTGAGCTCCCCTTTTCCTTCCAGAGCCCGAGGGCTATTTCACACGGAACATCCCCATGTCTCTCTCTCTCACCTGGGAAACCCCATGGCTAAGGTTTGCCTGCTAGGCTGCCGAGGATGAACACTTTCAGAAAGAGAAGCGCTGGCCCATCGAGTGCCAACTGTGGCCTCACGCCCGCGTGTGCGTGTGGTGTGGATGAGGTTGCCCTGCTCCTCCGGGAAGCTTCGTGGTCGTGTCATTACACTCGGGAGCAAGGCTCCATCCCTGGCAGGCTCCAGCGCCTTCAACTCGAGGTAGCTAGCCGCAGAGATGAGCCGCGGTCCAAGGCTGGTAGCCCCGTGCCTCTCGTGGCCCCTGGTCCCCCCCGCCTCCTCCACTCCAGGTGCCGACTATCCCTACCATGGCGCGCCACAAAGTCCCTGGACATGAACGCAAGGTGGCGAGGTGGCGAGGTTTTTGCTCCGCGAGTGCCAGCGGTGTCGAGGCTAAACTCCACACACGCGGGGTTGGTGAGGGGGGAGTTTTGAGCCTTGGCTTCTTCTAGCAGCTTCCTGATTGCGGCACTGCGTGATCAACCGATACTTGGAAAAGGGTCTGCTGCCTCGTAGCAACTGCAGCCACCCAGCTACCATGCAAATAATGCATCACCAATGTTGAGTGAACCGACGTGACAACGGTGGATACAACATTATGATACATTCACAGGAGCGAGCTTGTCGGGTTGACCCCAATGCAGTACTAATGCTGTGTTAACTGTGGGTGCAATACAGACTGTTAGAAAATCCATTGTTGTGTTAATACATCGACAGTAACTTCATTCACGTTGAACGCAAATAGTTTTTTTTAAAACACAGTTGCTGAGCAGAGGCGCGCGAAGCCCCAAAATGTCAAGCGGCCAGCAAATCAGCAAACCAACAGCAGCAGCAGCTCCATGAAATGTTGTAACGGTAGGGAGTTGTACACGTTTATTGAATCGAGCGGTGTCGTAACGAGTTAAGGAAAAGAGACGATGTAAGTCCTGCCGTGGGGCAGTGTGAGGGAAGAAGCAGGGTCGTGATCACGGCGCTGACGAGACGTAGAGATCGGGACAAACAAAAACCAACATGTCAAGTTCCCGATAACTCTCGTGGACCCGGTGTATTTCCCTGTAGCACCGAGGTCTACAGTGATTCACGTGGAAGGGAGACGCATCGTAACGCCGTGATAGTCTGCCATAAACATTAACGTGGCACTACAAGACAAATCACCCCGAGTTCCAAAACCATGTTTACTGTTAATTATTTCAAATGGGAAAAGCACTCTGATATATAATTACACATACAGTATTAATTTGTAAGCGGTGTGTAATAAGTTGAAGTTACTCAAGGAAAACAGAAATGGTACCCATCACTGTTATTTATGCAGGGCATGGGCACGGTTTATCCCGATTTAGAGCAGATGCCAAATCTTGCTCTCAATGGCATCTGTTATGCCAGGACCTAACTTGGTGTTTATCTCGTACTGAGTGAGGGCCTTGCTGAGTTTACCGGGTTTGGCCCAGAGTTCAGCTAATTTTCACTGGGCAAGCATCACTCCGAAAATCACGTGGACAACATGTTCAACTCATACAGTGGGTAACACACCAGAACTGGAGTATAAAAATAGGTTTGTAGAAATTAAACAATATATACGTAATTTAAAATACTGGTACACTATAACATTTATGTTTTCATTATGAACAACAAATAATGCAGTTTCAATAAGGAATGCAATTAAACTTAACTTGACATTGCCAAATCTGTACAATAAGTGTTCGATGTTTTGGTTTTGCTGAAGAATACCAGGAACACTGGAAGATTGATCTTATCTTGACCTAATGATTACCCATTTTCACCTGGAGCTTCAAAGCTGCATGCGATGCTTTTATTAGTCAACAATACTTACAAATAAAAATATCAACTTATTGCAACTTATACTGAAGGCATTTTCATTTGGTCTCCAGAACCTTTCCAACAATATTTGCTTAAGTTTCTTAAATGGAAAAAAAAACATTCGGACTGCTACTGGAAGTGTGACACTCACGACCAATACGATTCATAATTACGTATCTTCAGAAAATGCAAGGTGTAATTTCCAGCGTAGTGTGGAAATTACACCTTGCGAAGTCAAACTCTGGTGTGATTGCCTTTATACTGACCGGATTTGCTGAAAATAATGCCAAATGGGACGTATTATGGTAATGGTAAAACTTGATGTTTGGCTTTGTCGGGTGGAGGAGAGTATACCACATCATTTGGCTTTATACTTATGCGATATAACTCCCAAAAAAACCTATTAGAAATACAGCACGATGTAAACTTTGTATTGTTCACTAACATGTACCCCAAAATAGCACAGTAACATGCTTAATTTCAGTCACCGCGGTATTACGGAAGCTGGTATAACGCTGCAAAAGCAATGAAAGTGATCGGCCTCAGAAAAGCGACCGATGGAAAATATTTCTCACGTCACAATGTTTAGTGCTGGGTGATCTCGGCCAGATCTATACACATTCAGAAATTCCAGGCTTTCAAATATATATATCACTGACAGAAATATCCTGACATTCAGCCAATTTAGTGACTTGCAATCACACGTGCAGCTAGTTGCGAGTTCACGGTCGCGAGTCCTCCACTCTTAAGAATTTGCCTTTGGGGTTAGCGACATGGCGCATCACGCTTCCCTCGTGACGTCACTACATATGACGTCCTTTCCTCGTGCGGCCTGAAACGTAACACGTTACATTGCTAATTGAATACAAACACATTTTCGCGTGACTTTTCCTCCTGGTTTAGTGTCGCTGTGTTGCGATCTTGTGTCTATCGTACAGGGACAGATTTGAGAATGGGTCTAAATCAAATAATCAACTTTGGTCAAAGACTGTGGATGCCTTTCACAAGTCAATGGCAATCCTCCATTGGTCCTTTGCGCAGGACTTGTTTGAAACCAACAACATGCGGGTAATCCTTGAGCTTTGAAAGATACCTGAATGTCAAAAATGACGGGACCCAATGAAAATGTTGATGGAACAATTTCACGGAACCATTTTTTTCCATCCATGGCGCGTGTAGAGTAATCGATGTCCCCTATTTGTACTGTATGGCAGGCTATCACACGTGAGCAGTGCAGAACCTCTGAGATGCACACGATCTGGGCAAGTTTCATAAATCCCATTTTAATTGAAAAGCACAAAATAACCCCCCCAAAAAATACTGTACCAATTTTACCTCACAAATAGGTGTTGAGTCTGTGTAAATGTTACTATATCAGCTCCAAGATCACAACTAGTTTCTCTGAAAATGAGATCCCCTTCTTGTTAAGCTAGCACCAGCATTTTCAGATAAATATATGCTTAAATGTCAATAAAAATGTAAACATTCACAAACTGGCAATTTCGTTAAGTCAGCTTTCGTGAGTTGTAAAACGTCTGAGAGATGAAGGGACGCATGTTCAAACTAAACCATGGAGACGGACAAGAGAACAATGCAGACAATTATAGGCTTGAAATACATTCTCAGCCAAAATTTGTAAAACCAGTCTTGTACTCAAAACAAGTATGGATCATAAATGTGTTTAATGGTGTCGTCATTTACAGATGTTACCGTGAAATGTGTACATTTATGCTGCGTGATTGATGGCCAACACTGAAAGAGTTGCACTTGCTATAACACAGCATCATTGTATGCAGCCATTACTATCTTCACTTGTTTGGGATTTAACCTTTGCTGTTTTTGAAATGTACAACATTGAATGCAACATCTTTAAATAAAAAAAATAAAGGAATTAATAAATATTTAAATAAACAGAACAAAGATTCCCCCCGTATAGCCTGAACAGACTGTTGGGGCAAGTGCTGTTAGTGAACACCTATGAAGGCCGGCACGGCACACAAAGGGGTGGGTGGCCAGCACCACGCCCGGCCGCCTTTGTCTCCCTAGTGGCGATGTTTACGCGTCGCACCATACTCATTTGAGGCTGAGTTGACCTAGGGGAGGCCCAGGACCGATTCAGATAATCGTCACTGGTGTTGGTGGCCGTGAGCGGGAATCGAACTCGGGTCGCCGGGTTCGTAGCGCAGCGTAGCGCTAACCGCTGCGCCACCGGCCCCCCACAAATAAACACGCGCACACACACACACACACATTCCCAACGTAAGCAGTGAGCTGCTGGGTGAGTGGACCACTGTGCAGGCATCTACTGAACACAGGTGGCCGGCCTGGGCGCCCAGGGCAAGAGCCTCGCAGGTTTCCACTCTGCCACGGGGACCGCTGCCGATCGAGGAGGTCGCTATTGCGCAATGAGGAAATGTACATCCTTACGAAGCAGTACTTGTGCAGCAGGTTTGTAGATCAGGAATTCAGTTTATGTAGAAAATCCCCCAATAAAACGGTCGGGTTTCTGCGTTGACAGGATCACTAACATCGTTGTGGGAGGGGTCAAAATTAAACTGCACCAATGTTGTACTATACTGCACTAAAACCCACGTGCGTGCATGTGTACTTACAAACCGGCACATTGCCTTTGCTGTTACAGTAATTCACAAGATTTGTAACCTTTCAGTACAAGTTAATTATAAGTTATATGTGTACAATAATTATATTTCATATACCATAAATATATAAATTCAAGTGAACACTATTTAAACAGCATAAACATCGTGTCCTCGTGTAGCCCAGTGTTATATCATATATATTACTCCCTTGACAAAAATATGAGTATCTGCAGATAATGCTGAGCATCGATGTAGCACTCTGTATGCAGACGGAGTTTGAGAGGGCCCAAGGGCCATGCACTTACACTCCGTAAAGGTAACAAATCCTGCAGCAGCAGATGATGATGATGATGTACAATCAAGCTAATCATTTAATTTAAATTCCTCTGAACATACTTCTTGAGAAAGATCTACCACACACTAGATTAGTATAATATGTACTCTATTTATATACTGTATATATGCTAAAATTATCCTTTACCTAAACATTGCATAAATGAGCTAAAGCTGTGGATGAGCATGTGATTGGCTCCATAAGTTGGAACGCATCAGCACCCTGGCGGCGTTTAGAGGCATCAAACCAATTCAAGCGGCTCTGGGTGTGCGCTAATCAAGGGACAAACAGCTCTCTACGCTAACATGTTCACGCAGGTTCATTATTTGATTTGAAAACTAAATGTGTTAAATGAATAATCCATGTCGAACGTGTCAGACATTTCATAGGGAACCCCAAATTTAGTAACATTGACCTATTTTGGATTATAATAGCGTAATAAGTGTAAATATATCTATGAAACATTCATAGTTTTCTACCTGATTATTTAAAGCAAGGGGTTGCTAACTAACTCTATAGTAAAGGATATACAGTAATAAATAACTAAAGTACAGCATGTAGTATTTGCAGATACATGGTGGACATGCAGTGCATGCACAGCGCGCTGGCTGGGGGTGAGGAGGAGGCAGGGAGGGGGGTGATCACAACCTTCCGATGACCATCACATCAACCACCTCCCCCTTATGCAGTTCCAGGTACTGCTCTGTCTTGGGTGGCAGCATCAGCAGCCCATTGGCACTCCGCATGCTCAGCACGTGGCAGTTCATCTGGTTACCTGCAAGGAAATTCAAGGCCGCCACGCGTCAATGCTGTTCGAAAACAAATCAGCAGGTGGAGAGTTCAGGCCGTGGCCGTACTTTTTAACATTCGTCTTGCTAACATCCTGGTACGTATGTACGTATGTTGAACTTCTTTCACACCGTACGTAGCCAAACGTGCTAATCGGAGGAGCGGAGGAAGCACAACAAACTAAACACAACAATTTAAAAAACGAGTTTTCAATCTATATTTAAAAGTGCCTAGCTCCAGTGGGTTCCTAATCTCGGAAGGAAGAGCGTTCCAGACGGCCACAGAAGCGCCTCTGAAAGCGAGCTATGCGGTGACCGTCTTTGTTCAACGACGAGCCAAAAGCCGTTTTCAGGATGACCACCGGAGTCCGCGTGATGATGGTTTATGCTCCTTGACGAGATCAGTGAGGTATCGCGGTTCATTTGTGGCAAGCACTTTGTATGTAATGAGTGCGACCTTGTAATGAATTCGTTCAGCAACTGGAAGCCAATGCAGCTCAGCGAGCACTGGGCGGACATGGTCAGATCTCGCAATAAAATACCACAAGCGGCCTCAAGTGTAAAATCTTTAAAGTGCCCAAAAGTACGCAGTTTACGAAATAAACTGTAGTTTGTGCTGGACACGCGTTGCGAACGTACCTGTGCTCTGGGCCCAGGGTAGTGGCTCTTGGTGATGCCAGGTCAGGATGCAGCGGTGGTACTCTGGGCGAGGATCCAACTTCACATCGCAAGCCAACTGTAAACATCACGAGTAGCACCACAATAAGCCTTGTGCTGTCACACGCCGAGCAGTTAAAAATATACAAAATGTACTCCTTCCTCCCTTTCACGCTATGACTGCTGATATGCACCTGACATACGAAATCGTCCTCTTGACAATAAGTGATGGGAGCATTAAGCTGAGCCGACCGTTTCCATAATCGTCACAAACATGCGCATGTCCTTATTGCAACCATTTCTAAACAATGCTGCAAGTCAGTTATCACCACATTCCAGGTTCCTTCTTCAATAAATTTCACTTCACAAAATAAACAATAACAGCTGGCCACTTTTAAAGAGCAGTTATGCAAGGTGCCCACTGCCCCACCCTTGATCATGTGACACGTCTGCACCTGGTGAGAGTCTGGGAATAAGACGGTGCACGAGTACCATGCTCTTGGCTATTTTTACTGAACTTCTCTTGGCATAACTTAGATACTTATTATATTTACTCTATTGAATCAACCTCAAATATTTTTACTATTTATTTTAGTGATACTGAGTTGACAACAGTGCGTGATAAACCGCTTCGTTGAGCTTTCATTTGTGGCCAGGATTTCTTCTGAAAAATAAGCTCATAGCTCAGTGTGCTTTACCTGGTAAAAGTAACATTACATTTTTATTTAAAGCTTTCGTGACTGCAGTAATTCATATTCTTAGCTCTTTCTGTAAAGTCACGTTGAAGGGAAACAATAAAATAAAAAATATATAAAACAATTAAAAATTCTCACGACGTTTCGACCATAACACAAACGGTCGTCATCAGGTGTGTCGGTTTGCATGACCGACACACCTGATGACGACCGTTTGTGTTATGGTCGAAAGAGATAATTTTTATTGTTTTATATATATTATTTTATTGTTTCCCTTCAACGTGAATTTACCGAAAGAGCTAAGAATAAAAAGTAACATTGTTTAGTTTTATTTTTTGTAACGTATTATTTGGGTCTTTCGGTAAAGTGACGTCATCAGGATGACGACCCGCTTGTGTTGCGAACGGAACGTCGTAGTTTTTTGTGATTTTCTTTGAACCTATCTACGCGACTTTACCAAAAGACCCAAAGAATATGAATTCCTGTAGTCACGAAAGCTTTAAGTCAAGGTTTTTGTGACTTGTTTACCTTTCCTATACTTTGCACTCCTATCGTGTTTTTTTTGTTTATTGTGGTAATGTTCTGACCCGCCCGCTTACTGGGCATCTGTGAAAAAGAGCTTTATAGCTCATCGGATTCCTCCAGTATAAATACATATTCTAATTCTGATAAGCACAAATAACAAAAACACAACGCGCTATGAGGAAGGGCCATTATCCAAAACATCGCCGGGTTAAATATAAATACTTCCCTTGGACAGTTATTGGTAACCGCATTTTCACATTCTTTTCTCACAGATGTACAAACTGCGAGAGAGGCAAATATTGCACAGCAATTAAAACTTGAGCGCGTCAAACATATGTCTCGAGAGCCTTGGCCCACTACTGGAGTGCATCTTTGCCGATATCTCGCTTCAATCACACGCTCCCTGCCTTACCCTTGCTTTGAGGATCGTGGGACGCGGATCAATGATCCCTTGCATCTTACGCAGCGCCGGGATGACAAAGAGGTTGCTTGTGATGATGGCAGACACCGGATTTCCTGTAATGGGAGGGCCGCACTTATGGGCAACAGACACACAGACGATTGCGGAATCGTACCTGGATATGGCTTGCCAATTGAAATGCATGAGGTAAATCTTCTTCAAATTTGAAATAAAACAGAATATTATCACTATATTATTCCGATTTGACAAAACAATGGCGTTTTGGCATTAATGGCTAGATGGAACACTGTATAATCTGGATAAATATATAGTAAGTTCATCTCCCGAGTTGTTACAGTCATTGGATTCCCTTCTCCTTTCCATCCACTTTTTTATTATCATCATGTTTGAAAGTGCCTTTAAACAATACATTCAATTTAAATGCACTTTCAAAGCATGGCTTTCACAAAACAAATGCTGACACACGTGTCATAGTTCACACTGCGTATAAAATATTACAACAAACGCTGTATTAACGTGTACAACGATTATTAACGTGTACAACGATGAATTAACGTGTACTGTACAACTACAGGGTGGCCAATAGGTCTGGAATCATAGGGAAAAATAACGAATTAATGTATTTAGTTTTGTTTCTGCAGGCCCAAGATGTCTCTGAGTAGTAAGGAAGAACGAGTACAGATAATTCCACTCGTAGGAAATCGGAGTCAGAGGGAGGTCGCCGTGGAATTGAACAGACTGCATCCAGACGGCGAGCCAATAACACAGAGTTGTGTTAGCAAACTTGTTGCAAAGTTAACGGGAACAGGATCCATACAACTTAACCCACGCAGTGGACCTTCGACGAGATCCAACGATGATGACACAGAAGTGTCGAATAAAAGCGTTACAGTTGCCTTTTTTGTATAATTTTTCCTAGATTCCAGACTTATGGGACCCCCTGTATGTATCAATGTGCACGTATCAATGTGTACAACTATGTGTTAGCTATGTATTAACATGTAAGTATTAACGTGTACAACAAACGTTTCTGAGTAAGGAGACTGAGCACGCCCAAGGCTGTTCTAATCTTCACGTGGATAGCTCACGATATGTTTATCGCACGACCCATTTTAGCTTAAAATAACTGGGTACCCAGGCCTACGCATAATTTTATTACACGACTGTAATGCACACACACACACACAAGTGGATGTCTGTGCGCACCACATTACCGGGTAGTGCGAAGATTAGTTTGCGCATGCCGTGGATGTCCAGTGTACCAAACGTTGTGGGCAATCTGCAAAGAGAAACATCGCCATGCCAGAAATAAACGGCACGCGACAAAACCAATGCAGCTGCTTAAACCGCTTCGTATAACGTCAGAAAATCAGTAACCACCCTTTTTAAATAAATCCAAAACAGAATAAGAGTCAAGGTCTTGTACTCCCCTGGGGGGCTAAGGTTCATGCTGTAGAAACAATAATTTACTTTTTAAAATTTTAGTTACGAGTAACGTTACAATGTTGCGTATTTTGTTCCTCCCAAAGCAAATTAATGTGAGAATGATATCAGCGGTGCACGCCAGCACCAACAGCTGGCAAAGGCAGACATCACAGAAATACTGCCGAGACTCTTAAAAGGACCTCTTATACGGACCGCAATTAACGAAACCTCAACAGGTGTGTTAGTAACAATGCCCTCCTCTCTGCCTTCATCAGGCAAGGCCAAACTAAGGGTCTCTGCTGATTTCAAGTCCACCGCCACAAGTGACAGCACATCGACAATAACCATCACAATTGGCCACGTGATGGTCATCACTGCGTATAAACCCCAAATAGCCATAACCATCACCGCCTGTGACAGCACCCGCTTGCACGGCTATAGACGTGGGTGACTTCAACAGCCACCACACACGATGATGGGGCTACTCAGACAATGAACAACACCAAGAATAAGAATATCAATGACACTGCTTGGCATCATAGCCTACTGCTGAAGTTGGCCAACATCGTCAGATGTCATTCTAACGTACACCTAATCGACACGATGCTCAGAAACCACCTCAAGCGCTTGTGCTCCAGCCTGGTCCGGCAGCTCATATGTAAAACTGCTAGATGCACCATTAAATGACGTAATGTGCATCGCAACCAGACCACTGAAACTGACACCAATCCCCTCGCTCCCTGTTCTCGCACACGTTCTGCCACCGAATATCCGCCGAGACATGCAAACTGTAAGGGAGTTTTACGAGATATCTCGCCAACCACCACCTCAACAATGTACATCACCACACCACCGACTCAAGTCCCAATCCCCCCTTCTAGTATCATCCTGTCACCATCCTAGATTCTCGCCCAGATCTGGACGAGCAACGCGGACGTTCGGAATAAACACCTCGTTCAAGACCCAAAACAATCTCCTGGGTTCTACATTCCTCCCAGAAGGCACGTGTGTAACCATCATCAACCGCATCAGAACACCGACAGGCTTGATGCACACATCTCCTTCGTGAATGTAAAATTAAAGGCACAAGCCACACAGTGGTGCACTTGTGGCCATGCAATCAAAACTATGGACCATAGAGGAGGTCATTGATTATCCAGTGGCTACGCGGTTAAGGGGCGCCAGATTAAAAAAAAAACGCCGAACAATTAATTGCTAATCATTATTTAAAATAGCTTATTTTTTTACATTCTTGTATAACATGTTTGAAGGAGTTGTGCACATGTTTTTTGTGTTTATATTTGTTTACTATATCAACTTGGCATAAATAAACATACAAATAGACAAAAATAATATCCTACTGTAAAAAGGTACTGTAATTACTGTACCATACTTACCACTCCAATCTCGAAGACTCTGCATGGGGTGATGTACGTACTACGCGCTTGTTTCAATGACATGTGTTTAACGATCGCCGGACTGATGCAGCCTTTGCAGTCGTTTTGCCGGTTTCGCCGGATCGGTCTGGGACCGCCGGATAATGTTGGAAGCAGGATAATATCATGTGCCGGATATAATCGATGATCAACTGTATAGTAAATCACTGTGGTCTGCGCTCCTTCAATTAAAGAATATAAAAATACAAGAACTCTCTCCTGAAGCCCCCTCGTCGCTACTATCAGGCCTTGAATTTTGCAGAAAACATAACCGCCATGTATTTCACGCTGCACTCCAATTTGGGGAACGATATGCGGGCATAACTTGTGACCAGGAATCACATCGAGCAGGCAGCCGCAGATACCTAACAGCAATCCCAAACCATACACGAGTGTGCATCCCCTAGAACGTGTCACCACTGAGCACAGGGCACTGATGTAATTGTTCCTCACCCTGGCTTCATGAAGACTCTTCCAAAGTGGATCTGGGCATTGAGGTCAATGTCCAGTACCTGTTTGAAATAATCCTAAAGGGAGGGGAAATTCAAGGAAAAGTCATTAAGTGAGTTCCTGCTCATATGAACATCGAAGCTGTGCTCATCTCCCGTTAACGGCCCTCATTCCACATTCATCTGGTCGGGGCAAGTATATCCATAGGACAAGCCACTGTTGACTTCCCCACGAAGTGGTACTCATTGTATGGACCGCGGAGGAATGAGAGCCTGAGCCAAACCCCAACCGGGAGTTGAACTCGTGAACTTTCCGATTGCGAGCCGCTCGCTCTACCGATGAGCAGGCTGGCTAACGGGAAGAATGTTCGAGAAACTTAATTACCAAGCATGTACGTAAACAGAAATTGCAATTAAAAAAATTTTGGATGATGTTACAGGATACAACGTAGAATTTTTTGTAAAAATAATTTATCGTACTATTGTTTTTACTTTGAAAAGTATTGTTACATAAGTATAATTTATCCTTAAATAATTTTCAGGATTATTTAATGAAGTTTATAATTAACAGATAAAACTGACAGGCCAAACCAGGATGTTTGGTAGCTGTAACTGTGTTCAATCCCCACAGCATTGCAAGTTAGACGCATTTCTTTCTTTCTAAATGTTTTAACCTATAAATGTCATTGTTTATCTGTGTGTGCAGCCCAAGCTTTTGCGAAGGATTTGGCTCCCAAACCGTGGGGTTGACGTTTAAAAAAAGTAGCCAGGTACCACGCCGTAAGCCCCGTGGCGAGCCAGCGCCATTTCGTTTTCCCATCCGTCAACTTTAAAGTACAGCAAAACCTTGGATTGCGAGGAGCATAATTCGTTCCGGAAACGTGTTTGTAATCCAAAGCACTCGTATATCAAAGCACTCGTATATCAGTTGTGATCACGTGACGCTCGGCAGACAAAGCGTATACACGTACTACTTGTATTGCAAGACCCTCGTTCGTTTATCAAATTAATATTTATTTAAAATTTTTGCTCGTCTTACAAAACACTCGCAGATCAAGTGACTCGCAATCCAAGGTTTTACCGTAGTGTAATTAGTTTCATTACGTATTACAGTACTTAGCGTGCACTCGCCCATACCAAATCGCACGCGTTCGGTGGGGGCGAGGGGCCATTTCTCTTTCATGCGGACACTGAGCGAGGTAATACACACGAATTTAGAGTTCCCTTCAAACATACGTAGGTAAAATAAAAGAAAACAATTAAATCACGACGTTTCAGAGGCAACACAAGCTTCCGTCTTCAGGTGGAGCAGTCACAGCAAGGTCGCTTCATCTTGCTGCGACTGCTCCACAGCAAGATGAGAAATGTGACGTCACATCAAAATGCGCAACTTTAAATAAATATAGACAACACGTTCTACTTAATTAAATAGACTTTTTAATACATTTTTATCCTACAACATCAGAGTGCAGCGGCACAATAAATACCCACTACAATGACAATAGTTTAAAGCGATTTGAAGCATGTTTTATTTTTTTGGGGGGGGCGGAGCTTTGTGACGTCATATTTGAGGGGGGGGGTCTGACGTTTTGTGACGCCGTGTGACGAGGGGGGGGTCAAAAATCGTCCAAAATCACGTGACGTAATTTATGGACGGCCCCTTATTCTTTACACAGTGTTTATTAACGCTTCTGCAAATGATATTGCAATGCATCACCATTATCTTTTCAATAACTATCTCCATTTCGCATTCGCTGGACAAATTACAAACCAACATGACAGCAAAAACGTCGTCAACGTACTTTATTAATGCACTTAATTTAACGCATAATTTAACTTATCATTTCTAACTTCTCCTAACGTCACACTTATTTCGTTACTGTCACGTATAGACCACTTGCCATGAAATATTTTATGTTACTACTAAATTAATTAATACAAATTCAGTAAAACCTTGGATTGCGAGTAACTTGGCCTGCGAGTGTTTTGCAAGACGAGCAAATTTTTTAAATAAATATTAATTTGATAAACGAGCGAGGGTCTTGCAATACGAGTAGTACGTATACGCTTTGTCTGCCGAGCGTCACGTGATCACAACTGATATACGAGTGCTTTGGATTACAAACACGTTTCCGGAACGAATTATGCTCGCAATCCAAGGTTTTACTGTACTATAACACTTTTAAAGTGCAACACTTCCGCTTAGCTACGCTGCAGCCAGCTTCTTGGTCGCAGTCGGTGTACTGGCAGTCTCCACTGGTGCCTGCTCACTCTACTGGCAGTCTCTTACGTAGACTGTACACATTTTTACAAAGCTGCGCCACTTTACTGCCACTCTGTAATGTGGCCTGTTGCCTGCTTATTAATTAACAGTCAGTGCACTGGCAGTCTATTATCTACACGCTAAATATTGATATGAGGCACGGTCAGCGTACTGAAAGTCTTTCTTGTAGACTGTAGCCTGCTTCTTAAGCTGCTGACCCTTATATGCCAGCTTGTTATGTCGACTGCAGCAATGCTTATGTAATTGAGTCAGCGTACTGGCAGTCTATAATCTAGACTGCTTCTTAAGTGTGGGTTCTGCTGCTCTATAATGTACTTATTCTAGATTCTTTCTTCAATGCATTTCTATTGTTTCGTTTGCTCACGTCACGCTATTCACTGATATGTAGTACTGCGATGCTGATTTCTATGCTATACTGCTAAATACGTTGGACTTCCTTTGCTACAGCTCATTACATTTCGTCTATGATTTTGTTACATTGTTGGGAAAATCACCAATTTTCCATTTGGCGTACTGCAGCTTTTCTTTCAACATTCACCTGACGGAGCGAGCACATTTCCTCTTTTTTTATATTTTTTAAGCATTCACGTATTCCTTACACATTTATGATACTGACATTTATTTGACAACTTTATTTCAAAATCATATTATTTTATTCATCTAAAAATATTTTTTTCCCTCTGCCATTTTATGACAGTGCCTGCCTACAATGCAGTATTTCGAAAATAATATACATATTTATAGGCACCATGACTCATTGCATTCAATACAAGACAAAGGCATATCATACAAGCATGACCTTCACCTTTGATTACAGTGCTGATCCTCAAAGGTGCATTAACAATTGTTTGCATTTTCCCTCTTCATTGGTTCCTTCCCTAACATTACGTACATAGAAAACTAATCTTAACAAACTGAGTTAGTAAATAGAAAAGTTCAAATGTGTGTGTGTGTAAGTCGATGTGTTTGTGGTTCGAATTCTGTGTGTGAGTCGATGTGTCAGTCCATGTGTGTGTGTGTTAGTTAATATGCGTGTAAGTTGATGTGTGTGTGAGTCGATGTGTATGTTTTAGTCCGTGTGTGTGTGTGTAAGTCGATGTGTTTGTGGGTCGATGTCTGTGTGTGTCTAAGTCGATGTGTGTGTGTTAGTTAATATGCATGTAAGTTGATGTGTGTGTGAGTCGATGCGTGTGTTTTAGTCCGTGTGTGTGTGTGTGTAAGTCGATGTGTTTGTGGGTCGATGTCTGTGTGTGTCTAAGTCGATGTGTGTGTGTTAGTTAATATGCGTGTAAGATGATGTGTGTGTGAGTCGATGTGTGTGTTTTAGTCCGTGTGTGTGTGTGTGTAAGGCGATGTGTATGTGTCTTTTTCACCCGGGCAATGCCGGCTACTTCCCGCTATTGATCTATAATACATTCATGAAATCACTTGAGTCGGCACACTATATAGCCAATATTCTATATAGCCAATCAAGGCGACTGCCTCGCAAGTGTGCACGGACAAGAAAACATTACAGTTGTACATTAAATTCAGCGTCAAGGTTCAAGTTTATTTTGTTTAACCAAGTGGTGAGACAAAGATAGCATCATTTTGCCAGAGTGAGCTGGATCACTACAATGACAAAAGCAATGATGTCAAAAAAGACAACGTGCCCCGCATCACAGAAGAAATCGATTACGTTAATTAACATTTCCTCCAACAAAAGTTCGATCAGACAAATAACTTTTAAAAAAACGTTCAAAGTAAAATTAAGCTAGAGAACCATCAATATGGATTTCGGGTGATTATTGCACTTTTATGTAAACAGAAACTAACATAATGTCCGATAGGAATCATAAACAGTCAGATGTGGTGACCCCGTGGCCTGCGTACCTTATCGCCCATGGAGACGCCTCCAGAGGCTATGATGACGTCTGCATGGGTGATGCCTTCATTGAGAGCCGTCAGTAGATCATCAGGACTGGAAGAACAAAAAATGTTGAAAAGCCAAGTAGTTGCACCAATCAGTTGACCAACACCTCCAGTAAAAGTGTTACCAGACGTGCACATATGTTCAATTGAACCTTATGGCGAGACCCCGGGGTCCCATAAGTCCCGGCTCTCGCATAAACTGCGTTGCAACGTCATTTTATGTCTGTTGAAGGCGAACGACACGGCAGTCTATTCCTCTCGACGAGCTCTACACGATGCGCTAATCAAAGTTTCAAAGTTTTGTTTCTTCTGCGCATTCGTCCTCGCTGCACTTGGACTACATGACAACAGAATGATCCGCACCAGGTAGGTCGTCAAAAATAAATACATTAATTACGTTTTTGACTTCCGTTTATTCGGCACCCCGGGGTCCCGCCCATAAGGTTCAATTGTACCACAATAATTATAATAAAATACTACATTACAGCCCTTTGCCAATTTTCTGCTGGATAAAGACTACCCCACGCTGTTGCCAGTCATCGAGGTTGTGTGAGCAGACTTCACCACGCACGTTTGGGCGCCGCATTGGGTGCCGAGATGTTATCTCCCTTGCCCGGTATGCAGGAGGCCACGGGTTTGATCCCGACCATGACGCTTGTATATTTGGAGTTCGCATGTTCTCCCCGTGGTCGCATGGAATTTTCTCCGGGTCCTCTGTTTTTTTTTTCCCCTCCACATTTATCAACGTGCATTTGTATTATTTGGCACTGGGCCGCTCGGCCCATTATGCAGTTGGCTCGTCGCGTTACACTGACTGGTCACGATTTGAGGTGGGGTTGTTTTTTCTGCTGTTGCGGTAAACATAGCGCCCCTCGTGGCTGCGGGCTTCACTTGGGCCGACCGTTTACATTATTGTGATTACGCTTGTAACACAATTTTTGTCCCTGGGTAGTAGTAAGTGTTATTTTTGAATTGCTTATGTCTAAAAAGTATAGAAAATGGCTATTATTCCCCACATACTTTGCTTTTGTGACCAGGCTGGCTTCACTCCAACGCTGTCCTCTGGACAGTCTGGTCCCTTCACCTGATGAAGGCCACTTGTGTTGTGGCCGAAACGTCGTGATTTTTGTTGTTTTATTTTTTTTACCGACGTAACTTTACCGAATAGAACCAAAGATTATTTTGAAATCTACCTATTTTCAATGAGAAAACGGGTGAATTTGTGTCCTTTTGTTCAGATAAAGTCAGAAAAAAACAACATGAATCGAAATTAACATGTCTTTATACTAAAGTCTCCCATCATGTTCTCATTATTCTGTCCTTGGTTATACTGTCCTTGGTAGCGGCGTTCCAAGTCCAGTATATCCTGGTGGAAGCGCTCGCCCTGCTCTTCCGAGTATGCTCCCATGTTCTCCTTGAATTTATCAAGATGAGCATCAAGGATATGGACTTTGAGGGACATCCTACAGCCCATTGTGCTGTCGTTCTTCACCAGTCTCAACCAGTTCCACATAGTTTTCGGCCTTGTGATTGCCCAGGAAGCCCCGAACCACTGCAACAAAGCTGTCCCAAGCCACTTTCTCCTTACTAGCGAGCTTCTTGGGGAATTAATTGCACTCCAGGATCTTCTTTATCTGTGGTCCGACGAAGACACTGGATTTGACCTTTGCCTCAGACAGCTTAGGGAAGAAGTCTTGAAGGTACTTGAAGGCTGCCGACTCTTTATCTACAGCTCTGACATAAATTGTTTCATAAAGCCCAATTTGATGTGCAGTGGTGGCATCAGCACCTTCCGGGGGTCCACCAGTGGCTCCCACTTGACGTTGTTCCTCCCCACAGAGAACTCAGTCCGCTGTAGCCAGTCCTGCCTGTGGTAGTGCGCATTGGTGTCCCTGCTGTCCCAAAGGCAAAGATATTAGGGAAACTTGGTAAAACCGCCTTGGAGACCCATCATACTTCAAGGCATTCGGCAAGGTTTTGATGCTGTTGTAATCCTCTTTGAGGTGCACTGAGTGAGCCAGGGGAAGAGACGGGTACTTGTTACCATTATGGAGCAGCACGGCTTTGAGGCTCCTGGATGAGCTGTCAATGAAGAGGCACCACTCATTCTGGTTACAGGCAATTCCGATTGCCTCGAACAGACTGGTCACATTGTGGCAGAAGCAGAGTCCATCAAGACGGGTGAAGAAGCTGCAAAAAGGTTGGTGACGCTTCCTCTGATCTGCGACTTGCACACTTGCATCCAACAAGTTCCACTGCTTGAGCCTTGACGTCAAAAGCGCGGCATTGGACTTGGTGAGACCAAGATCTCTGATCAAGTCGTTGAGGTATTTTTGGTTGGGGTAGTATAGGTTTCTCTCCTCAGCTCCACCTCTGAAATTGTCATCTGGATCTACAACGTCTTCCTCGCTCTCTGACTTGCTGCTCTCTTCTAAAGACGGCTGCTCTCTCCAGAGGAGTGGGTACGGGGAGCTCATGGCAGTGTGGCACTGGGGCGATGGATAAAGGAAGGTCCGAATTCTTGCTAGTCCGACGTTTGGAAGGGTCCACCATGCAGAAGTAGCAGTTGCTTGAGTGGTCAGTGGGTTCCCGCTAAATTCTTGGGAAAGCGAACTTCATGGCTCTCTTTTCCCTTCTGTACCATCCTACAAAAATACATTGATTTCCCCATGACTAATGTGTCAGAGATTCCCGCAACATTTTTTATATATGACATATTTGTTCAATAACATTGAAAATTGTAAAACATTTTAAAATTAAAAACTTTTACAATTTTTTTCACAAATTTTATAACATAAAATTCCGAGCAACATCTTACCTTCCAGAATTTTTTTGCATTGCTCGCAGGTGAAATGAGGTGCCCAGGGTTTGTCTTGATCCCCAACAGGCATGCAGGAAAATATGACTTGTAGGCCTCACACATCTTGGCAGATGCTTCCACAGAGTACTTTTTCGCTCTTGTCTTGATAAATTGGCCGCAGACAAAGCAAAATGCGTCTGCCGGATGCTTGCAGCCTCTTGATGCCATCTCAGATAAATGCAGATATGTGTCCACTTAGGCAGCTGGAACTAAACTGAACTGGTGGGCTTAAGGCCCCTGTATTTATACTACTATTTATATTACTGGAAAGTTTTAGAATGTTCTAGAAGTTACTCAAAGTTAACTCAGTACTGAATCTATCTGGAATTCTCATTGAAAATAGGTAAATTTCAAAATATTACTGTCCTGGTCACAAAAGCAAATTTTGTGGGGAATAATAGCCATTTTCTGTACTTTGTGGCATAAGCATTTCGAAAATAACACTTACTACCCAGGGAAAAAAAATTTTGGTCACACTGTTATTTTTTGCTGCTATCAATTTCCACACAATAAGCCACTTCCACGCTAAGCCACTTTCAGGTCACTTCTGAAACAAAGAGCTACAGAGCTCAGTGGGCCTTACCTGGTAAAATAAAAAAAAAGTTACTAGTTTAGTTTTATAGGTAAACCCTACTGGGAGAGACGAGGCATGCAGTAACGGTGGCAATGGGAGTTTATCAGCGATGGCTGAACACGGCGTTGAGTGCGGGCGCGGTACCCACTTGTCCCCAACAATGCCCAGGTCGATGGTCGGGTAGCCGTGCTCCTGGATGACGGCCAGCAGCGTGGAGCGGTTGCTGTCTCGCACCTTCCCAGGGAGGAGGTTGTCTTCCGGATTCAGCAACTGTGCACACCCACAAGAGCACCCGGCAGTGACGCAAGTTTACACTCGTGCCCTTGGAGAACAGCACCAGGAAATAGTTGCGTCATTATCAAGTCTGTGGGACGCAGTAGTTTGATAATAGTTTTACTCAAGCCACTGTTCACATTATGCCCACTGCATGTGCAGCCCTTTGAGACGAGAAACCCACTCCTGTGATTTCCCTCTGCTTTCCCACAATTTCAATGTACAGTCCGTTCTACTGTAACATATTTTCACAACGCAAATTGGATATAACGCGATCGATAAAATTACGTCGCGCGAGTAAGAATATGCAGTCGTACGGTTGCCTCGGCATAGCATCACCACACGAGGCATTGGGATACTGCTGGATGCTTCTAGATGCTACCCACGCGCCTCGGTCTTTGTTCAGCCTTAATACGCATCTCACGTGTTATTGAAGACTGTACTTTACCCTATATTATTTATTATAACACGATTTTTCCATAATACGGTGTTCTTCAGGAATGCAACTACCATGTTTTCAGAGAGAAGACTGTATTGTTATTTATTTTTCTCCACACCTCACGAAGTCCACCGATGTCCCACTTTATTTTTACCAATTCTGCTTCCAATTCTACAAAGGTCTGATCCGAACGGAGAGTTCCGTGTGTTGTTGTATAATAGTGATTGCCAAATGCAAGTGTCCTGTTCATACCCGGCAATTAGAGTATTTGGTTGCTATAAGTTTCCACATCATAAGCTACTTCATTGAGTTTAACACGTAGGCTTTCGCGACCAATATTATTCATAATAAAGGTTTTTGGGTTAGATCGCGTTATTTATAAATGTGTCGTAACCCTCCACCACCCGACACGGCCAATCAGCAAAAAAGTGTCACGTTGACAAAAGACAAATAATTCACTACTTTAGCCCACCGGTGTGTTGAAGAGTGAATCCACAACATTTACAGTTTGAGTACGACGTTTCGCTGGTAATTACATCCAGCATCATCGGGCAATTCGCCAGAATGGTAAAGCCCTCGCTTGCTCCCGGTCTTAAATAGAGCAGCAGGGCGACGTCATCATTTAACTCATTTCAGATGCAGTGATTTGAGGCGGAGGGGGGGTATTGTAATTAAATAATCGATTGGTAATCAGTCAATGGTTATGATTAGTAATGAGTTGTAGATTAGTAATTAGTTGTAATGTGTGTTATTGTGATTATATGCTAGGTTAGCAATCCGTTAATTAGTATGTGTTTCCCCTATGAACTATCATTTGTGTCCAGGTCGCTTCTGAAAAAGAGCTCTATAGCTCAGAGGGTTTTACCTGTAAAATAAAAAATAGTTTCAAGTTTCATAGTTTAATTCTTAGGACCCGCTGTTCCTTAAACGTGATTTCTGGTGGAGCTGGGAGCTGCTGGCGATAATACCGATCATATACATTGCGCAATTGCTTGCTTATGAGCCTTAACCTCGCCAGGTCTTCATTTTGAATCAGAGCTAGATGGTACTATTAATATTCTTTTAAATATAAATTTTGCAAAAAAGAAAAATTTGAGAATGCAGATGACCTCATTTCCCGTCGACATGACAGCGACGATGGGGAACTTGTGCACCTCCACCTCTGTGATGCCCATGGTGGCCAGGAGTCCGATCTCCGAGGGGCCCATGTGGGTGCCCTTGGCCAGCACGCACTCCCCACGCTTTATATCGTGGCCTATCGACCTGCGCACAACGCAGTACGAGCCACACGCATTGCACATGAGCGCGCGTCGATCGTTTATCACGCGCGGACACACGGGCATGGGGGACCCCCTTCGCATGACAAGACATATGGATCAGAAAACGTGGACAAAAAATGTAACGGCAAGAGCTGAAAAGTGCACGAGCAGGTATGGAGAGGTGCACGCTTGGAATTTTACTGAGAGACATAAAGGGGCACACGAGGCAATACATGCGAGTTGAATGACATCAAATTTTATCAGAATGTTTATTCATGCCGGAGGAATCCGATGAGCTATGAGGCTCTTTTTCACAGATGTCCAGTCGGGGAGTGTCAAAACGTTCCAACAACAAACAATACAAACAAACACGACAGGAGTGCAAAGTATAGCGATAGGTAAGCAAATCACAAACTAACGCAAATAAAAATATCTGCTAAAGTAAGAGAGCTTGGGGCTGGACACGTCGCGAGACGGGGTGATGGCCAGCGGTCGAGACTAACAATCGAGCGACAGCCAAGTGAGAGAACGCGCCCGAGGTGACGTTGACCGAGGAGATGAAGCGATGACATCGGATCACGTGCCGGAGCTAAATAAATTGTTGCATCCGAGGACCCTAAGGGACGGCGACAGCTTGGGGGGCATTCATCTGGCATCGACTGATAACGACTGCTGATGATGATGAAGCTTAGACAAAGACAATTGTACAGTTCACGCACAGGGTCAAGGCAGAAGTGTTCAGTTTAGCTCTCCTGGGCACAATCGTAGAGAGTAAAGCTGTAGAGATACAGGGAGAACGATCTCAATTCTAAATGCAAGTTCACTTACCGGATATCTTGTCCTGGCCTGGCTTGAATTAATATCCGAACCTCCAGTTCCTCCGTGCCCTGCTTGTCAGATACAATAGGCACACCATTGCATGGTGGATATACATTAATTATTATTATTACCCCCACCCCCTAAACCCGTCCATCATTCAATGAAGTATCATGATTCAGGGTCATGATTCAGTTAAAGAATAAATAATTACGTTGTCATTATTTCCACAATTTTATCCCAATTGTGCTACCGGAGTGACGTCACGAGTCAAAGTACCGTTTCGGAACTCCCAAAGAGAGCAGTGCAACCCCTTCGTCTTAGAAATCGGCCCACGGAAGTGGATATTGCAGAGCTACCTCCGAGATCCCTTCAAGTGAACACCGGTCCAGCACTTTCCCACTCGCTCTGCACATGAGAGTGAGGTTGGCACACGACAGTCAAACTGATCCTTTCATTCTCGCGACTTAAATTTAGCCAATTAGTTCAGATTACCAACAATTTGACCATTTTTTATCCGAGAGGATGGAGTGGTTTGCCTTTTCTTTCAATGGACCTAAACGTTTCAGAATCAATTACCTATATATACACACACAAAACAGAATAGGCAAATTTGATTCCTCCCACTGTATAAGTAGTTGTGTTTTAAAATAATGGTACTTGTATATTATTTGTCTGTTCGAGCGGGAAAACAAAGTTTTATGTACAAAAACATTTAATTAACTGTATATACATACATAGGGTTTATTACTGATGCTGCCTTACCCTTTAATATGCATATTCATCAAGTCATCAAAATATTATATGTAAGGCTATCTTCTTGTACAAAAACAAGCAATGCCTTCCGAAATTAAAATTCGTAGGCAGATTACTGAAGCGCCAATCATTCCATTATTTGACTACCGCAATGTAGCATATCAGGTTGCTTCGTCAGCTTAACTCGGTTTGCGGTGCTGCGTTTCGATTCTCAGCGGGTGCATCACTTTGAGCTCTAATGCCATGGCTGGGCAAATGTCCTTGGACCTGAGAAGACATTTTCTCTGTAAGGCTACTCTTATTTTACAAGGCTGCTCTCCGTAGAGATGCTCTCCATTTGTCCGACTTGGTGTTTTTGTTACCGGTGGACAATGCAAAAAGTCCACGGAGCGCGTCTTATCGTCTTGCAATAGTTCCCAGATTTCACACGCAATTTGGATAAAAAATAATTGAATGTAGCTGCTGCCCCAAAGTGAGTTTGAACCACCAAGATTTGTCTCTTGGCATCTCCAGTCTGCCATCTCTGTCCTCAATTAAACCGTCTCTATTAAAATCACGAAAGTTCAAGTGTGAAAGTAAGTTTACAACACAATTGCTATTATTTTCTTGGTTCTTACCGAAAGAACCAAGAATATGAATTCCTGCAGTCACGAAAGCTTTAAATCAAAATAATTGCTATTGTTAAGTTTTTTTTTAAATATGTAATAGTGGAATGCTTTGATGTTGTCTGGGCGGCAAAGTAGCACTTCAAAAATAGCTTTTTAGCTCAATAGGCTGTACTTGGGATATACACTTAAATTCTGATTAAAACTATTTCTTTTATTTTACCAGGTAAGGCCCACTGAGCTATGTAGCTCTTTTTCAGAAGCGACCTGGCCACAAATGATAGCTCAACGAAGTGGCTTATCACGTGAGAATTTATAGCAGCCAAATACTCTAAACGCCTGATATTGATAATAACCGTGGAGGGAAAAACCGAAGATCCGGAGAAAAATCCACACTACCATGGATAGAGAGACGCCGCAAACTTCAAATATACAACAGGTGTCAGGGTCGAACCCACAACCTCCTGTATACCAGGCGAGGTAGTTAACATCTCGCCACTATGACACTGCTGTAATTAACACTTGGATCAGAGAGAGAACACATGCTGCTAATGACATCATCCAAACTATTAGGAAAAGTGCCCTTAGACACATCATGCTCTGGGGGGATGATGGTAAATAATAAGAATGATAAAAACGCAGTGGCAAGCCAAGGAATGGAACACGTCATAGAGAGGACGTCCGGCTATGAGTCGCGAGACCATGGAGGTGGTGGTGGCCCGCAGAGACCTTCATCCAGCTGCGGACTGAGCGTGCGTCACAACACTCACGTCGTCCGATTCCTTAAGGAGCTCCGTGTTCTCCACGGGCACCACCGCGTCGGCGCCGCACGGGATTGGCGCCCCCACCGTCACGCGCATCACTTGCCCCGGCATCACCGTCTGGCTCGGCTGCCCAGGGTGCATTACACACACACACGGACACACTGTCAACAGGACCGCTCAATTTGCAGTGCCGGGCCATTTGGAAGATGAACACGCAGAATTACTTCCAAGGTCACTTCAACGGGCCACTTTGCCCACCCACAAAAGGGGGCACCACCTTTTAAATCTTATGAAAAGTCTGCCACAATTGAACAAAAATAATGAATCCTCAGAGCTGGAATATTGCCAAATAAAGTACCACCTTTGCACTCTCCATATGAATGTGTCTCCTGTATTTTAAAGGGCCAAAATATAGAAGCAATCCGGTAACATTGTTATAACCTACTCAAATATTTGCATGAGATTGTCACTATTCAAATAAAAATGCTCATTAAACTGTTGAACAACTGTACATGCTCATTAGACAACAGACCGGCCACTATTGCCTCACACCATGCAATCATCAATGACGCCGTATTTTGGCACGGGGAGTGAGTGTTTAGGGCTTACCGGCTCACCGGCATGCGATTCCCCAATAACAAAGCGGTCACCTGGCCCATCCGCTGCTAAAAAGGGACACGGACAGCAAAACAATGTACACCGTTACCTCAAAGTGAACTAATCGGTGTGTACTCTCTCATTTCCATTTGCTACGACATCCGAGGATAACCTTGGGTTGCCACAATTAGCAACACTCTTCCAAAAAAAATGTTAAATTACATTTTCTTTTTAGATACATTTTAGGGAATTTCTTTTAAACGTTTATCCTCAGAACATTTTCTTCACAACTTCAATGTCACAATAATTGGCACAGAGGCACACAAACCTCTCACGGCATAGCCATCCTTCATGGACGCTGGAAACGGAGGAAGGTTGTCCTTGGCAAAGACGTCTTGGGCCAAAACTCGGCCGAAGCCATCTGCAGAAACATCCCCAATGGAAACCACTGAAATAAGTGTGGCGTTAAAATTACATGTGGGACAAATACGAAGTTTTTGTTTTTTAAAAAGAGGAACATTTTAAGAAGAAAATATCCTTGCATAGGCTGTGGGCAAGGATAGCGTGCAGGAAAATTACAAACGGGCTCAGTAGCCTCCTGTCGTGGATTAATGACGTCCCACTACCCTACATCCCACAGTCGGTCTAGAGTGAGCCGCGTATGCAGCCCCCATCACATATAACCTCACCTATGCTTTTATTTTAGTGCAAAGTGTGAAGTAACTGCAGTAGCTTTCACGACACGAGTGCGTTAAGTGTGAGGGAGGTGTAGATCCTCCCACCCTCCCGCCAACCCGTTCAATTCCGCCACGTCCACCTGCACGATCTTCCCGGCACTCGCCCCGGACGAAATTACGGAGATGAAGCTCCGCTGCAGGAAGTTCCTCTTTTTAACAACGCCAAAGACACCGCGGCTACATTTGTTGAGCGTCAGTGCCAGGGCAGCAGTATAAACCAACCACAAAACAATATTCCACTAACAACACGCCCGCACCGTCGTGTGTACCCGCTGTGCCAGCAGTCCTCAAGAGTTCCAGTCTCCGATCCTGGTGGTTGCTCGCTCTGGAGAATAATGAGTTTCCAGGGCACAGGACAAGTACAAGACGCCTGGGGCGCAAGGGCACGGCTCATGCAGAACAGGCCCTGGAGTGCCATCGGAAGCATGCAGTAGCGAAGAGCGCCTTACAACCAGATATCCCAGCATAGGGTCTACCATTACGCCTAAAATATATCCAAGAGATATCTGGCTTTGTATTTATATGCCTGGAATTCACCGCTGTCTGTCGCACTAGACCACGATTGCAAGGTAAGCAGAGTTAGACTGATAATGCTAGGATTCACTATATGAACGCATGTTGAACTTATTTTGCTCTGTACGTAGTCAACCGTGCTAATCGGGGATGCTCCGGTTCATTGTCCCAGTGTGGCTCGGGATTACTGTCACCAGTTATAAATCTAGTTCGACGTATAATCCTGTGACTCACTTCTTCACTGGTCCTCTGGATCGCTGTCACAAGGTAAGTCGAGTCCGACTTGTAATCCTGCGGCTCATTTGTCACTGTTCTCTGTTACAACTTTATGTCTGTTCCACCTGTATCTGTTATACCAGTTATGGAGAGCGGTAGTGTAGTGGTTAGCGCACTGCGCTATGAACCCGACGACCCGAGTTCAATTCCCGCTCACGGTCAACGCCAGTGACGATTATTTGAACAGTTCCTGGGCCTCCCCTAGGTCGACTCAGCCTCAAATGAGTACCGAGTGCGGTGTGGAGTAAACATCGCTACTAGGGAGACAAAGGCGGTTGGGCATGATGCTGGTCATCCACCAACCTCGTGTACCGTTTCCAGCCTTCATAGGTGCTCGCTAACAGCACTTGCCCCAACAGTATGTTAAGGCTATAAGGAGGATCTTTATCTGTTTTGGTTATACCAGAACTGGCAGTCCTCGACTTACGGACACAATTAGTTCCTAAGACCTGTTAGTAAATCGATTGGTTCGTAAGTCAGAACACAATATACTATATTAAATGCCATACGGTCGGTGTTATTAAATGTGTTACGGTTCAACAAAAATGGAAGCATTGTTAATCTCATGAATAAAAATTAATATTGTACATTTTCATGCACCATTGTAATAAGTACTGTATCGTAATTAAAAGAAAATAAAGTAGCATAAATAGAAAATAAATTAGTTTTATTTTCACCTACCTTGTGTCCTGCTGCTGGCTTGCTTGTCGGAAGAGGCGTAATGAGTCACCACAATAACACACAAACACACAGCACACGCGCGCACACACACACAGACACACAGACACAAAGATCCCCCGTGTGTGTGCGTGCACATGCGCACGCACGCACACACAACGACAAAGACACACACACACACCAACGATCCCCCGTATAGCCGTGACAGACTGTTGGGGCAAGTGCTTTTAGCAAGCAGCACCTCTAAAGGTCGCCGGGAAGGCACACGAGGAGGTGAGTGGGCAGCAGCATGCCCGGCCACTTTTGACTGGCGTACTAACCATTGCACTACCGCTCCCCACACACACACACACATGGGGGCACACGCACACACACACAGACACACGACAACGATCCCCCATATAACCTTCACAAACTGTTGGGGCAAGTGCTGTTAACGAGCACCTATGAAAGCCGGCACGGCACACGAAGGGGGTGGTTGGCCAACACCACGTCTGGTCGCCTTCGTCTCCCCAGTGGCGATGTTTACACACCACACCAGGCATTCATTTGAGGCTGAGTCGATCTAGGGGAGGCCTAAGACCAGTTCAGATAACCGTCACTGGTGTTAGTCGTGAGCGGGCATCGAACTCGGGTCGCCGGGTTTGTAGCGCAGTGCTAACCACTACACTACTTTCACACAGACGTGTGTGCCCGTGCACACACGCACCAACACTCACTCCCAGCGCGAGGCTGACTCATTGCATCTCGCAGAGGATTCCTCCGCTGAACAAAATAGTTCCGCGGTTCAGTTTACAAATGCGAGTTCGCATTTTAGGTCAATGTTAAAAATATATATTTAATGGAAGCTGGTTCGTAAGTGCGAGTTTTCGTAAGTCTGGAGTTCGTAAGTCGGGGACCGCTTGTATATCGTTCTCCAGATGACTGTCACCCTGTCTCCCTATGTCTCTGTGTATCTCTCTGTGTATCCCTGTATCTTCCTGCGTGCCTTCGTGTCTCCCTCTGTCTCTCTGTGTGCCACCATTTCCCTGTATCTCCTGGGGCCCAGGCGGCCACTCAGAGCAAACCGCTCCACCCCACTTTATCCCAAATCCTATAGCACCCTCACAGTCACCATTTGTTGTCCTTCCCCTGAACTTTTCATTAGCACGGTTGGCTACGTATGGTGCGAAAGAAGTTCAACACACATACATAGTACCCCTCACAAGCATTCCAGGTCTGCTGACCCTGTCTCGTCCATCGGAGCCCTGACATTGTGGCGGTCACCCCTCTCTAATTTGATGAGCGTCTTGTAGTCCACCCTGGGTTTCCAACAATGTGGCCATTGTTCTGGTAGAGCAAGGAAATCCCCAGGCATGATACTCTCCAGTTTCCGCCGTCACTGGCGGAGTCGAAGGGTTTTTTTTCTGTTCTCCGTAGGTTGGGGATGTCTTCCCATCCGGCCTCTCCTCGGAAAGATTGTCAAGTCCCCCAGATCCTCCCAATTATTTCCCGGCTTCGACATCTCCATTGGTCTCCCTCGGCTATGGTTGTAACCTCTTCCACATCGGCTTTGGGTGGCTTGTCACCCCCTACGCCCCAGAGGTCGCCCGGGGGCCAGTCTTCTTCGTCGAGGTTCTCATCGCGACCCAGAGTTTCCCGTGCTTCAGGTTCCGGGTGCAAGGCCGGGCTGTGTCCACGGGCCTGTCCTGGTCCCCATTGGTTGAGCACTGGACAAGTGGGAGGCGTAGTGGTTCAGCCCTTTGGCTGCCGTGCGTGGAGCCTCCTGTTGGTTAGCATCGGGCATGTGGGAACAGTGACTCTACCATTCGATATTAGCATGTGGAGTCTCATATCAGCCAAATTCTGAGCACGTGATAGAGGAAGTGGCTTTTTTATTGGGTGCGGGGCGAGACTCTCAATTGGGCGTTTGTAAAGCGGTCACTAATTGGCTATTTTATGAGCGGCAGTTTTAAAATGGCTCTTGGCACGTGGCAACAATGATGACAGTGGCAGCCGGGGTATATACGGGAAGAGCAACTGGGACTTTTGCTTCAATTCTCTGTGGTGAATCGTGTCTTTAATAAAACCCTGTTAAAGTCTCTACCCATGTGCGGGAAAATTCTCTCCAATGTACACAGCGTATGTGTGTTTAATGACTCCTGTTATAAGGACGAGCGATGGTTGTACCTCGGTAGTTGACAATCTCAGTGCCCAGAACGGGAGTCATCTCCAGCACGGTTATGAAGGCCTTGTCCATCGAGGTGAGTGGGAAGGAGGACGATCGAGACCTGCGAGACATCTTTGTGATGTCCACTGCGCTATGGCCTGCGCACAGCACACAACACTGCCTACCTCACATAGCAATCTCCACATTGTACAACACTGCCTACCACACACAGTAATCTCCACATTGTACAACACTGCCTACCCCACACAGTAATCTCCACATTGAACAACACTGCCTACCTCACACAGTAATCTCCACATTGTACAACACTGCCTACCACACACAACAATCTCCACATTGTACAACACTGCCTACCTCACACACAATCTCCACATTGTACAACACTGCCTACCCCACACAGTAATCTCCACGTTCTACAACACTGCCTACCACACACAGTAATCTCCACATTGTACAACACTGCCTACCACACACAACAATCTCCACATTGTACAACACTGCCTACCACACACACAGTAATCTCCACATTGTACAACACTGGCTACCTCACACAGTAATCTCCACATTGTACAACACTGCCTACCACACACACAATCTCCACATTGTACAACACTGCCTACCACACACACAATCTCCACATTGTACAACACTGCCTACCACACACACAATCTCCACATTGTACGACACTGCCTACCACACACACAATCTCCACATTGTACAACACTGCCTACCTCACACAGTAATCTCCACATCGAACAACACTGCCTACCTCACACAGTAATCTCCACATTGTACAACACTGCCTACCACACACAGCAATCTCCACATTGTACAACACTGCCTACCACACACAGTAATCTCCACATAGTACAACACTGCCTACCATACACAACAATCTCCACATTGTACAACACTGCCTACCACACACAGTAATCTCCACATAGTACAACACTGCCTACCATACACAACAATCTCCACATTGTACAACACTGCCTACCTCACACAACAATCTCCACATTGTACAACACTGCCTACCTCACACAACAATCTCCACATTGTACAACACTGCCTACCACACACAGTAATCTCCACATTGTACAACACTGCCTACCACACACAACAATCTCCACATTGTACAACAACACTGCCTACCTCACACAGCATAGAACACTATGTATAAATATCTCGCGTAGCAATCTCCACATGATACACGTCAACGCCGTGCTGTGTTAAGCGATTTCATTACACAATCTCAACACATGTCGCCTTTATACCACGTGTAATTGTTACGGCTGTGTATCATGCAAAGCCAGAAAGAGAGAGTATACATACACTTACTTGACCTCAGAATATTTTCCTTGCTGCTGCAACGAGACTGTACCTGAAACGGAACACGGCTAAATATTGGTGACGTTTCATTAAAATGCATTCATATCCAACGTCTAAACTGACCGTGTCACGACACAGCATAATGTTCCCTATACTGAGATGTCTGAAAGGTTCATGAAAATCTATTCAAATGGATGGGTTTGTTTCGTGAAACAATAAACAATATCGCGTTAAAAAATGTGAAAAAATCAATGCCTGTAGTAGCCTCGTGGCTACTCGAGGAATTATCCAGTTAATAGTGTCTGTCGGTGCACTGGTGACTGTGCTGTTACTTTGCACTGATCTGTGATTATAGATAATATTGCACACGTGTGTTTAACGCAACATACACACAAAATATAATTATTAATAGGATGTAAAATTTCTACAATATCTCAAAACCCAGTGCTCACAGCATTACAATAGTAATGAAAAATATATTTACAATGCCTGTGATGAGAAGTCAAACGTACATTAGTTGATTAAAGGGTAAATGCAGTAGATACAGTGGGAAAATATATTGGTGAATTTTCCGCAACATAAGCTACAAATTCATATTTTTCAAGTACATTTAACAATGAATTGTAAAGTGTACTGGGTCACGATCACATCTCTTCCAAAATATTTCAATTGCCCCTTGCTAACATTTGAGTATGAATGGGAAAATATTATACGAAATTGTAACGTTTCAGTTTGGGCAGGGAGTGTTATGAATGGGCAGATTCAGGACCCAAAGCAGTCGGGGAGCGCCGGACAGCCTTGGAGACAGCCGTGGGCGGGCGGGGGGGAGGCAGAGGTAGAATAGGTGGGCCAGGGGTGAACTGGCAGGAGATGTACATACGTTGAACTTCTTTTGCACCGTACGTAGCCAACCGTGCGGGAGGGGAGGACAATAAACTAAAACACAAGCAGTTCTAAAGAAGTTACTTTGTCAATCTAGACGAGTTAAAAGTGCATATCTCCAGTGGCTTCCTAATATCGGAAGGAAGAGTATTCCAGACGGCTGCAGAAGGGCTTCTGAAAGTGCGGCGATGCGGTGACCATCTTTGTTCGATAGTTAGCCAAAAAGCCGCTGCTGCGAGGATGACCGAAGTGGGCGCGATGTTTGATGCTCCTTGACGAGATCAGCAAGTAATTGTGGTTCGTTTGCGGTGAGCACTTTGTGTGTAATGAGCGCAACCTCATAAGTTGGCATGGCAATGAGCCTTGGTTGACAGGGGATGGAGAGGGAGGGCACTGGAAAGCCCGTGCGGCGTATGGCATAATGGACCAATGGTCAACGCGGGTTGGATAACGACGGGTGAGGTCACGCAGGAGACGGCAGGGTCAAGGGCAGAAGCGACCGCCGAGGGGAGGCGGGGGTCCCGGGGGGAGCGACGTGAGGCCACCGCGACCACGGCGTGCAGAGAGAGCGCCGGCAAGGAGAGAGGAGGGGGAGGTTGGCGGGACTGAGCGTGGGATAGAGAGCACGGGAAGAGAAAGGAGATTTGAGTCGCCGAGTGGTGGAGTATTCAGCGGGCCTGGAGGCTGGGTGGACAATGTGTAGAGATACGAGGAGTGTCCACGTTCTGGATGGGGAATAACTCGTCACTGCGACGGCCGTCTTACACTTATTATTTTGCTGACACTACTGTTCAAGGAGGTTCTAATAAACCCGCCCTACACTGTGAGAGAGAAGACTGTGATTGCCCCTGGTCATCCTGGTGGTCATTGCCATCGTGTTGTCGGATGAGAAATGCAAATTCTAGTTCATCGCTTGCTAAAAGTGACTGAAGATTCAGACAGTCTCTTTGAACTGTGTTTAAATACCATGAGGAGTTTAACATTCAGGTGATTTACTTGGCACGCTTTTATAGTGCCGAGTTTACGATAGGAACAATAATGATAAACAGTTAGGGGAATACGTCATAGTCCGAACCATATTTATTTACAAATCTCAATTGACAACGCGCGTCTTAATGCACAACCTCTGAACGCACGATGACATTATAAACCAGTGCCGCGGTTTTACAAAATGTAAATATGCATTCGATATTAATAAGCAAAATCACCGAGAAGTAATGCGAGGGTTGGTTCAGGCTATCGCCATTTCAAGGGACTCTTGGGAGAGCCTCCGAAAGGCCCAAACTCAAATTTCCACGGAGGCTGAGAGACACGTGGGCATCTCTATACCTAAGAACCCGCACCTACGATCAGCACGGTTGGCTACGTACGGTGTGAAGAAAGTTCAACATACATACATAGACACCTTGTCGTATGTTTAAAGTTACAACTTCAAATCAGAAATTGCCACCACGATGATTCAAATAAAAGTCTAGACGGAATTTGTTCTGGGGTAACAGATGTATTAACATATTTAGGCTCCCGAGAAAAGGTGCACGAGAAGGAACAAGGCAACACAACACTTGAGTTCACAAAGCAACGCAAAGAGAAGTAGTTCTTAAGGTCCTTAAACTACTAGAAGCACAGGTCAAATAGGTCAAACAGGTCAAATAGGCAAACTACAGGCTAGATGCAGTCTAAAGCATTTTTATTTAAGGTTTAACCAGATCAACACGCCTAATCGGAGTCATAAACATAAATGAGATCCATAGCAGAGTCAAACATTCAAGGCAAATTCAAAGGATACATCTAAACAAGGGATAGGCCCTTCTGTTAAATTCCAATACTTAGTTTCAGTTAACCCTGGCCACAGTCGAAAGCTAGAGGAAACAATGGGACTATGAGTTTATTGGTCAAACTAGTCTCAGGAATAAAAGATTAATAAAAGGAAAATAAGAGCGATCGGATTTCCTACATATCATGGGACCTTTCTACTCTCTGCTCTGACACTGGTGAGACTAGGCCATGTCACGAAGGCTGTCTCTGGTGTAGGCCAAACTGTTTCAAAGACAATGTCTATATTATTATCAGAGCATGTTTGCTTGCATGTTCACCACAAGTACGTGTGGTTAATGCAGACTTGATTCCTTGCAAAATGTATCTATTTGGTGTTTGAACATATTAAGGCCTGTTTCATTGCAAGAAAGGGTAAAACCTATTCTTAATTTTTATCATAGGGTTTCCTCCCACTGGCGTCAAGAGAAGTGAAAGAAAGTCTACAGTTCGCCGATCCGTGATCCGGGACTCAAGCTCGCAGACATTGGACACGGTGCAGAGCGCAATTGCTCTGGTCACCCGGGTGAACGATCTCGGACACGCTGCCGAGCAACGTCGCAGAGGTTGCAGAGCTCACAAGGTCACCGGCAAGCACGGACCAGGCAAAGTTTCAGACATTCGCAGGGCTTACGGGGACTCGGACAGAGACGGAGCCGAGTTGCAGAGGTTGCAAGGACTCACAGGTGGGCAAGGTATGGACTGAACAGGGTTCAAGAGGTTACATTGTTTTGAATGTAGAATTTTAAATAAAAATGTTTTATATTTCCAGTACATTGCTATTGTCACCATCATAATATAAACATTCAACATAAACACAAACGAATAAAAAAACAGCTTCATTAAAAACAAATTTTATCGTATGATTTGCAGTATGCCGGATATCGCCTATAATCAGAAAGGGTGTCCCCCCCCCTCAATGAGTCCAATTTAGAGGTTTTACCGTACAGAGTGGTGTAAATGTCCCAGTATACAAGGGTACACGACACCTGCACCTCAACACACCCAGCACTTCTGATAATGGTTCCGATTCCTTCGCTACGATGTTTCCACAGAGGGGAAACGTCGGTGAACCCGGACTGCCAGACGAATGGATTTCATTCCGGCACTTCTACCCATCTATTTAAACCACTGTCTGCACACGAAGGTGAGGAAGGTGATAGCGGGGATGGCTGTGGAAAATGTTACACGATGACCTGGGGAATGGAAACGATTACACCGTCCCCAACAGGCGGATGAACAACAACAAGAGAGAGCACACGAGAAGGGGAAGACACACTTGGAAACACGCCCTGTGCGCCGGGCATCATGGAGGATGGAGTGGGTTGATCATCGGACACATGGTGAAGAGCCGGCAAGGGGAGAGCTACGTAGGGAACGCTTCCATTAGACCTGCAGAGACACGACAGGAGAACGGCAGCTGTGCAGCAACACTGGCGGCAGGTTTGACATCTTCACTCGATGAACGTCGCTTCTTAATCAACTCACCTGGGATGACACCTCGTAATCATTTGCCCCATCCTTGCAGACTTGTGCCGAGTCACTTTATGATGCACAGGGACGGCTGCCGCGGGGGTGCCCACCGAACGTGTGAGATGAGATGGTGATGAAAGGGCGCTTTGAGATGCTCAAGTGTTAAAAAAGCACTGTACATAATGTGAAAAATGTGAATGATTTTCTTTGTTCAAAGCGGAAAATACGTCTTCAATCCTTTTATTTAAAAACTAAAAAAAATCATACAAAATAAGGAATTGCAACCTACATTTTTATTTTCATAGTTCCCGGGTTTTATTTTTAGAAGGGGTCAAGCAGAGAGAAATGCTTGAATCAACGCTGTTCATAACAGCATCCAGAAGCTGTTTACCTCGGGTTGTTTTGGAAAAAAACCAAGCCATGAATTCCCTTCTATATTAATCTGCAACACCCTTCCTTTAAAAAAACACTCACACTGTAGCAGTTGGCTTTTAAACTCAATAACGAAACAATTATGGGTAAAGAAAGATCTCGCCAAGGTGACGCCCCTCCAACCAGTGATTTCACCTCCGGGCATTTCGACGGCCAATCCTGAGGCCTTGTAAGTTACCGCCAGGTCCACGTGCCAGTTCCCTTGGGTTAGACCCAGGGGGACGGCACCCTGCGGCACCGGAGCCACAAAGCGGCTCTTTAAAAGGACTGCTTCGTGACAGTTATTTATTAAGGACCCAGCGTCTCTTACTCGCGCGCATTGCGGCTCTTGAAGTATTGAGTCTTTTGTTTTACTGAATTCGAAAATAAATGCCTCATCTTGTTTTTCTGCTTGCCACCGACCCCTGGGATAGCTGCTCAGGAGGCCCCAACGATGCCCACGCTGACCTGTTCTGCACAGAGAACGAGTATGCCCACCAAGGTACAGGGGTTGAACCGCTTTCCCCGACCACTCCTCACTCTCTTGCCTGCTGTCTGATTGCGTGACTCTAGAGCTCTTTTAGATCCTCCTCTCGAGGGCAGGAGAAGCATCACCTTGGTGAGATCTTTCCTTACCCATAATTAGTTTTATTGATTTTAATGGATTTCATTTTTTTCGTGAATTCCAAATAATTATCTGTTAAAAACGGCTGATGGATGTGAGGAAGAGGTTTAACTTGGCCATGGAAGCAACTGCATCTGGATATCTGCACTGCATCTTGGCTCTGCTGCATGCAACTGGAAGCCAAAAGGTCCTTAGCCAAACGCACCTGACCACGAACTAAAGCCACGGAAGAAACCCAAAATAACCAACCACTTAAAAGTAAAAAGTGCACACGTTGTTCACTTTGACTTCAATCATTAATGCTTCCACCACTCCCGCTCTGTGCCCTGTCTGCTCTGCTTCATGGCCAAGTGAAGAGGAGCGCTCTGCTGGGTGCTGCGTGTGGCAGGGAGGTTTCCTTGCCCCATCTCGTGCGCTCATGGCTGTGATCCAGCACTGTGGAGCCGAGGGTTGGTGGGTCACGTACGTTTGTAAAAACTACCCACGCGCGTCAAGGTCGCCATCTCCTGGCTTTCCGGGTTAAGGCAGTACAGCAAGTGGGTTAATTTCCATCTGTAGGTGGGTTGAATATTACCTCCACCTCCCACCACACATGGCTTTCTCTGGGTACTCCGGTTTTCTCCCCACATGTATAAATACTGATTCGCGAAGTTGGCCAAACAAGCCTGATATAGGACCGCAGATCTTCGGCGTCTGCCCTACGTCCCACTTGCCTCCAGGTTATCCGGACCTCTGTGCATAAACTGTGCGCGTTACAAATTCTACAGCGTTCTGAGATACAATTCCAATGCCTCCATTACAGACGACACATATTGCACACACATGAACATGTACACACAACATACATGGATGGATGTATGCACAATATGTACATCCGCGCACATTTATATATTACCCGATGTGTACAAACATGTAAGTGGTATTCGCCAGCACGCACAACATGATATTCCAACCTAGAAAATATCAAACTGCGAACATATCTCAAGATACCGTTTGGAAGCAGGGGGACATACATTGTGGAGAGTGGCGACGTGTCGCGGTGAGCACGTGAGGGGGGATGAGGGAGCGCCACGATGCACCGTGGACACCTTTTCACAGGCTGCACCTGGTGTTAAACTCAGCTCTGCGTTTAGCAATGCAAGTCGCTCCCCATCCATCTATCGCCAAGATCTCGGTGTCGATGCAGAGGCACGTGCACTGGCCCGTAGTTTGCTCTTAAATCATCTCCCGATTTCCCACAAATTGTAAATGTGCCGGCGCACGACGCTACGCCGTGCCGGCTCGTCTCCCAACATTCCCCACTCGCGCGCGAACCGGCGCCACTCCCTGGGACGTCCGAAGCTCAAAGCGACGCTCGTTCCGTAGAGAGGACGCGGTGGTGAGCGTGGTGGGGCTCCGCTGCAGCACTACGAGGTGGCGATACCGCACTGCCACGGGGACAAATTCCACCGTCGCGTATGCTGCATGCGTAAACACAGAGTAATGGACATTACCAGGCTTACTTTGGGGGTGGGACAGGAAGCGGTGGAGAGGCGCGAGGTGGAGTGAGCGCGCGGGGACTCAGACGGGGTTGTGCTCAGCGACGCACTGTCCCTGGGAAACACCTGGACCCCTCTTGAGATGATGGACTCGGGGATCTGTGCACGGCGCCACACACAGCAACGGTCACCTTGGCGAGATCTTTCTTTACCCATAATTGTTTCGTTATTGAGTTCAAAAGGGAGTTTTAGCGGCCAATATGATTCGTGATAGATTTTAATCTGGTTAGGCCACTTTTGACTTCCCCACAAATCGGTACTGATGTTATCGACACCGGAGGGATGAGGGGCTGAGTGAATCATCAACCAGGATTTGAACTCGCAGCCTTTCTGATTTCAAGCCGCTCGCTCTGCTTGCCAAGCCGTTTGGCCGGTTTGAGATGGCATCCCGTCCCGCTGCCGACATTCCCTGCAAAATTAATGCCCCTTACAAGCAGACTGCGCGTATTGCACGGCACGGTGAGCAGCGCACTGCAATCTTAGCCGCTTCCCCGTCACGCACAACCCCTCCGCCAAACTCTACCGCTGGGCAACTCCAAGGGTACCACGCAGAGACGTAGAACCTGACCTCCCCGCGCCACCGAGCTCCCGTTTACCACCCGTCCGGCTTTGACCCGTTCAAGTCTGGGAACTGACATCTTGCGTTTTGGTGGCAGAAATCGATTTGTGCCGAGATCTGGTGACTATATATTTGACCGAGATATCTTAAATGTGACATGTACACCGCGTGGAGGCGTTCTGTGCTGTGGGTTCACGCGGTAGTTGCGTCGTCAGTGCTCGCGCTGCTTTGGCTGAGGAATCATGTTGTTAACGAACGACGTGGACCTGTTTGCGGACGGCACAACCCGACGGCTGTTCGACGCCCCAGAAGAACGGAGCAACGTCACTCCGTGCCTTCAGGGGGACCTTCAGAGCATTAGGGGAAAATGGACAGAAGAGTACACCGGGTAAAACACCAACGGGACACTGAACACATCGACAAAAAATATCCACGTTCTACCCGACCTACTCACCGTCAGGGCCAAGTAAACACGCTAACAAATGGAGAGGTCGCAGTTATGCTGTAATACGAGTGATATAATTTCTCACATTTTGAAGCAGGCAGTTTTATATGACAGTAAACGTTTGTCAAGACTGCTATCTCTCCAAGTACCAAAATAAAATAAATGTTTTACATATCCCAGCAGCCACACAGGATCCTGGGGGTACACAATATCAGATATGTGAAGGAGGTGGATGGTCTGCTCATTTAATTTGTTACTTATATTCTCCACAATGACGCATTTCATGGGTGTGCGTTAGAATCTATATATTCACACCAATTAAAAAAATTGCACAGATTCACACCACAATACATTTTCTGATATTACATCACTGGATTCAAATCGACGCACGCCGCTAAATCTACATATTCAAACCGCAGCAGATTCTACAGGTCCGTACCACAGCAAATGTTGTATATTCACCTCACAGCGAGTTGTACATCTCACCGCTGTGGATTCATATTGCGGCTTATCACCCATCTACTGCAGCAGGGAAGAGGCGAGCACACACGCTGACCTGGAGTGCCGTTAGGCTAGGGGAAGGCAATAAAACTACACGTGACAAAACTATATAAAACAGATGAAACGAAAAAGATTCCATTCTTGATTAATTGTGGCGTTAGATCACTACAGCCCTGCGCCATACCACAGGCCTTCCGCTGGACCCTGGCACCACCCAGCAGTGATTGCTCAGCACCCAAACACGGCAGTAGACCCCGAAGCCACCTGTTTGTTTATACGCTTTGGGTCGCTTTTTCTTTCGCGCTGAGTTTTTACTTTATTCCGATTGGGCTCTTGACATCTTGTCACTAGATAGCGGCCATTTAGAATTATCGTGGAGTACTGCATCACCACATGTGTTAGAGAACAGCTCAATGGAAGTAAATATCACAGAACTACTTCGAAAGCCCCCCTTCAAGTGACTTTTTTTTATCCACACACTAAGGAGCATATTTAATGTGCCCCAAGAAGAGTTTAACGAAATCATTGTTCGTACATCCTTTTGAGATTTGGATGGCCAAGATCTCAAGATCATGATGTCATCATAACGCCACCATCACCTCACCAAGGCTTTATACCCTCTGCAAGACACTGCGGCTGCTGCACGGGAGACACGCCGCCATCTCTAAGATACGCCCCGATAGTCTCCCGCCATCTACTCGTTTGGCCTTTCCCTCGGCCTCCGCACTCGTCAAGACCGCTCCGATGCTCGTCGTTTGACAAAATTAGCCCTTGCCCACCCCCGCTCGCGTCCCACCCAGCCTCTTCACAAAGGCAACATTTTTACTCGCCGAGCTGCATCGGTGTTCCGGTTGCCGAAAGAATACATTACAAGTGCTCGCACACAAATGAACCATACAGCTTGCTGATCTCGTCAAGGAGCACAAACCATCACGTGAACTCCGGTCATCCTCGCAGCAGCTTTTGGCTGGCTGTCGAACAAAGACGGTCACCGCATTGCACGATTTCAGATGCGCTTCTGCAGCCATCTGGAACGCTCTTCCATCCTATGTTAGGAAGCTACAGGAAACATTCACTTTTAAATCTATATCGAAAAATAATTTCTTTAGAACTGCGTTTTGTGTTCAGTTTGTTGTCCTTCCCCCGCACCTCTGATTCGCACGGTTGGCTACGTACGGCGCGTAAGAAGTTCAACATACATGCACTTTTAAATCAATATCGAAAACTAATTTCTTTATAACTGCTTTTTGTGTTCAGTTTGTTGTCCTTCCCCGGCAACCTCCGATTCGCACGGTTGGCTACGTACGGCGCGGAAAAAGTTCAACATACATGCATTTTACGATCGCACGGAGCGAACCTTGCCGGTGATGACTGACGAGGTGTTCTGCGAGGAGGAGCTGTCCTCCGTCGAGGAGACACCGCTGTCCTTCTTCCCCTCCTCCTCGTCCTCGCACTGGATGCCCCGGTCCACGGTGAAGCGCTGGCCGGGGAGGCCGGGAGGTGGGGTAGGAGGAGGAGGCGGCGACGGCAGGTTGTCCAGCTCGGGATGCGACCCCTTGCCCTTCACCATCGCGTCGCGCAGCAGGTCGACGGCGTGCGGCAGAGCCGGCAGGATGAACTGGAAGCACTCCTGTCGAGCGCGTCGTCGAGCAACATCGCGGGGGGGGGGGGGGGGTGGGGGGCACATTCGGCGAGTAAATCGCACGGCTCGAACAACCACGGTTAACCCATTTCCCGTTACGATAACGCACGTGTAGGTCATCGGTTTTTCTTCCGGTTCCGTTCCGATGACGTCTGTGCATGCGTCCGTCATCAGAATAAAATCAGAAGAAAAAATTAAATAACTTTATCGGTACTGAGGCTCCCACAAGGCCATGCGGGGAGGGAGTGTGGCACAGTTTGGCACCAGCTATCTTAGAGTGTGGTCGAGTCGCCACAGTTCTCTGCGGTGAGTACAATGTCTTATAAAAACAACGGCGCTACGCCTCTCTAGATCAAATTTACGCCGAGCCACTTGCTCGTTTCAGAGGTGAACGGGACACCCACCCTGCAACTTGCACTCGTCTCAGAACAGGAAAGGGTCACATCACACGCCAAGTAAAAATTGTATTCATACGACGATGAGGAAAATGCGTCTTGCACATTTTGTGGTTTTGTGGTTAGTTTCAAAAGGTCTCACTTTGAGTTTTATTTGTATTATTTTGAAAGACATGACCAGCTGTTTTTATTTCATAAAAAAAATTCCACCGGACAATCCCTCGAGATGGACGCATCTCATTTGCAAGGGAGTCCAGGGTGCCGATTGACACGCACTTTGCAAACGCGTCGCGACACGTTTACGTGCGTTACATCTGCCTCATACGGTGTGCATTCATACAGAATCAGAATTTTTATTTATCCTGAAGCAAGGCCGGTGAGCTTCAACTCTCCTTTTCACAGATGCCCAGAAGTAATATATGAGAGATATAATGTAATGAAAATAACACCCAAAAACATAAATTAATACATAATTAGATGATGCACACCAACGGTTAATATAGAATGTTCCCTCGCTGTAGGCGGTTGCAAATGTTGTGCAAGTCTAAACTAAAGATGGGAATAAGTTGAGTCTGGGAGAGTGTTCCATGTTTAAGCAATTAAAATGTTCCACTGTATACAACATATTCTCAAATCGTACGTGGCTGCCTGTGGTGTAGCGGGTTTGAGACAATGGAATTGTCAAAGCGAAAAAAACCTCGAGCAGCTTGTCAATCAATGCCTCCGTCACAGACCAGCGCTCATCACCTGAGGGGTCCCCGCCCCACTCTCGGTGTGGATTGCATTCATGGGAACAAATTATTCCGGTGAAAACGCTGCTCAAATCAATCTTTTCACAACTCAATCGGCATTCAAAGGGTTCTTCAGAGGTGGGGGCACTGGGCAGAGCCGACGGTGGAGCTCGGATCTAACTGGCACTCTCGTCGGGATTTGCCTGCCTTTCATCAGCGCCAGCATCACGCTCTTAAAATATCCACGTTTTATCTTTTTCAGCCCACGCTACACATCAGGGCACCTGCGTACACGGCACCTACTTTAGTGGGGCTTTCATGCAGCCAAAAATATTCAAGTTCAAGAGTGAAATGTATTTCGTTTAACCAGGTGCGAGAACTCAAAGAGACAAGGATATTTTCCCTTTTGCAAGAGTGACCTGGCTTACCAAAACGACTAAATCAAATAATGTCAACACAGAAACGAGACAAACACAGAAGTCAGAGCAAAAAAAAAAAACAATCGAGTACATTAGAAATTGCAGTCAAAAAAACGTGTTCCAAAGGAAATAAAAAAAACAGTGCACAAACATTATTGATATCAAATCCATTTCCAACGACAAAAGCTGACTGACCAAATCATGCGGCCGACCGATGTGATGCGCAACGTGCCCATGTGCAATTTCACCGCGCCCACGTGCAATTTCACCGTGTTTAACCATGTCCATGTGCGATTTCAGCGTGCCCACGTTCAATTTCACCGTGTTTCACCATGCCCACGTGCAATTTCACTGTGCCCACGTGCGATTTGACTGTACCCACGTGCGATTTCATCGTGCCCACGTGCGATTTCACCGTGTTTCACCCTACCCACGTGCGATTTCACCGTGCCCACGTACGATTTCACCGTACCCACGTGCAATTTCATTGTGCCCACGTGTGATTTGCTACCACCTAACTCGTGCCCACTAATCTGACTTTAATGTCCCCGTATCCACCTTCATTATTTATCTGCCCAAAAAAGGAGTCCAGCTCCCTGTCATCTCTCATAAATCTTTGCATAATGGGGCAGTTGCTGGTTCGATTCAGCTGCCCTTATAATTTAAACCCTTAATCTCCCCGGTTCACGGTTTACACTCTCTCCCAGTGTTTACATCAGTGAGGCACCTGTCATCCTTGATACGTAATTTATTTTGTGAGTCTTCTCTTGGCAGCATTATTCAACCATATATTTTATATATATAGTTGTAAATGTTCGTAGTTTGCTTATTAACATCTTGGCCATGTACCTCTATTATTCATTAAACATATGCGTACACTTGAAGCGCAGAATGTCGTAAAGCTACCGAGTGGCCTAACACCCAAGAACAACACTGATCATAACTGTGAGTGTGTGTGGGTGCGACATTGCAATGGGTGATGCATTTATATTGGTGACCATCATTGTTCTGTTTATTTTTCTATTTTTAGCCATTAATTTATTTAACCTAGAAAACGCCTCGAGATGGAACATCTCGTTTGCAAGCGTGGCGCTCCGGGACTTCGATTGACACACGGCACAGCGGTCACACGACAAGCCTCATCGCAAAACGCTCCACGTCGATCGTAACGCAGTATGGGTTGGGTCCATCATCATAAATGTGCACATGCCAAGCGCTCGTGTGAATCGCCACTTGGTCTGAGCAGAATGAACCCGTCGCCAAGTCCACGTGAACTCTGCCAAAAGAAAGACGGCTCACCTGAGACCCTTTCTTGCTTCCTGGCAGGTTAATAATCAAGGTCTTCCCTCGAATTCCACAAACAGGGCTAAAATGTACAAAAATACATAACGATGAAGCCACACAGGAACATTTCAAAAATAAGCCAACCCAATGCATAGGACGCACATGAACAGTCTGTGAGGTATAACGTTGTTGCTTCATTCATTCTACTGATTAATAATTAAACAAAAGCTGGGTCAGGTGACACGGTTATTCTGACTTTTATTTGGACTTCGTGGATGTTGTTCTTAAGATGCTTGGCACAGTTCCAAACGAAACGTCGGATCTGATTGCTGACTTTGATTGTGAAATTTGCCCTGCAACTCAGCAGTGAGCTGAAGCAATAAAAATCGTGCGGGGCTGAGCGCTTGCACAAGCGGAAAATTTTTATTTGTTTGCCGACACCAGGTCGGAGGGGTCTTACAACCCAGAATTTGCCAGATCACCGTGGCCTTACCCAAAACATCAACTGTAAATCGTATCACTGTGAAAACCTACACATTAAGTTCATTATTAAAAACGCTTAATATTAAGGATTGATGTTTTTGAATCCTCTTGTCCATACTCGCCAGCAAGGTTACGAGGTTTGCAGTGCATAAAACATGACGCGTGCTTTGAATGGACACATATTTTTGCGAAAAATATCTTGTTTACGGAAGTCTCAATGTTTAATTTACTGCACATTTCTTGAATTTTCCTCCGTCAATCTCAGAAGCGATGACAACAAGAATACATCTCACGCATGCGTTACCGTGAGAGCATTGCCAGCGGGGTGACATTGAGAGATCCCATCAGCATCGCCAAGGCCATTCCCGGGGCCTCCCGTTCGATCACGTCCCTTGTTGCCTGTGCGGGGAAAACATACAAAAATAAAATATCCCTGTGTAGCCTCCCGCTCGGGGCATGTGCAGCACCGACGAAGTGGAGTGGAGGCGTCACCTCTGGCGTCACGTCGCGGGGAGCGAACCCCGTGCCTCCAGACGTGAGCACGAGGTTGAGCTCCTTGTCGTCGCACCACTCCAGCAGGCTCTCCTGCAGCACCAGGCGAGATGGAGAGAGGGGGAAGGGAGAGGAAGGAGCCACTCGGCCTGGCGCCACAGTGCCCGCCCACCGGCAAACTCGATTGCTCGCGTTAGTTGGTGCGCCAGTTCTACAATTCTTTTGATATTTTTTTTTTATTGTTGTCGAGTTCACCGAGCAGCAGCGTGGACATTCACAAATATGAGCCGCTTGCGGGGCAGTTATACGGCCCAGCAGTAGTGCGTTCGCCGCTTGTTGCAGAGGTTCGCGGTGTGAAATCGGCAGGCTGCCCCGGTTAATACTTCGGTGGTGTAACAACGGTAATGTGTGTGCCATCTATCTATGACACCATTTTGGCAGTATCAAAATGATGAAAAAATATATAAGAATAGGCTTTACCCTTCCTGGCTATAAAACAGGGATAAAGATGTTCGAACACGAAATAGATACCTATTGCAAGGCATCAAGTCTGCATTACCCACACATACTTGTGGCAAAACACGCCAACAAACATGCTCTGATAATAACATATTCATTGTCTTTTAAACTGATTGGCCTACACCCAACGGCGGAGTCAGTGGGGGGGGGGGGGGGGGGGGCGGGGGGGGGGGGGGGGGGGGGGGGCACGTGCCACCCCAATGATCCGATCGAAATTAGGGATTTTGGTCGGATCATTGGGGTTTATTAGTAATAAATTGGCATTTTGCGACCCCCACTGCCACTGTGTAGCATATTATTACGTGCCAGGGATTATATGAGATGATAGGACAATAGTCTGAGTCCAAGTAACGGCAAAGCAGTTATAAGTGATTCACATAATTGTGCGTAGTTGCGTCTACAGAGTCCACGACTTCCCTGAAGGCATCAGCACCTTCAGCGAGCGCGACGCCGATCACACAACGCGGTTCGAATTCGACCCTCGATCGATGGCTGCGCCATCGCCGTACACGCGTCGAATAAAAAGCAAGGGACAAGTCCTTACTTACTAACAACTCCTCTATCATTTTTCATTGCTGGAGGGGTTGCCCCCCCTACCTGAAACCCTAGCACCGCCATTGCCCCCACCAATGCGCCATCTGCTTCAAAGTGGACATTAAAATCCCGTGATGCCACGGTCCAAATTGGTATCGTAAAAAAAAATTCGTAAGGCAATCGTCGCTCTCTGTTGCAAAAACCTGGCAGAATCCTCCTGGAAAAGAGGTCTTGAAACTTAGTGAGGCTCTCCTGGGTGAACAAGCGTAATGACAGCCATAGCATTCACTCACAACGTCGCAGCACAGTGGGAGCGGTTTCGGAGTGACGGGGCAAATGTGAACCCTCACCTTAATGTCCTCCATCTCCTCAGGAACAATCTTGTAGGCCGACACAATTCCCCCGAGCCTGCGGCGAACACAAGTACGCATGAACACGAGCACGTGTGAACACGAGGATGAGTAAACATAACCACGAGTGAGCGCGAGGCCGAGTGAACGCGAGGCCGAGTGAACGCGTGGCCGAGTGAACGCGTGGCCGAGTGAACGCGTGGCCGAGTGAGCGCGTGGCCGAGTGAGCGCGAGGCCGAGTGAACGCGAGGCCGAGTGAACGCGAGGCCGAGTGAACGCGAGGCCGAGTGAACGCGTGGCCGAGTGAGCGCGAGGCCGAGTGAGCGCGAGGCCGAGTGAACGCGAGGCCGAGTGAGCGCGAGACCGAGTGAGCGCGAGGCCGAGTGAACGCGAGGCCGAGTGAACGCGTGGCCGAGTGAACGCGAGGCCGAGTGAGCGCGAGGCCGAGTGAGCGCGAGGCCGAGTGAACGCGAGGCCGAGTGAACGCGAGGCCGAGTGAACGCGAGGCCGAGTGAACGCGAGGCCGAGTGAACGCGTGGCCGAGTGAACGCGAGGCCGAGTGAACGCGAGGCCGAGTGAACGCGAGGCCGAGTGAACGCGAGGCCGAGTGAACGCGAGGCCGAGTGAACGCGAGGCCGAGTGAACGCGTGGCCGAGTGAGCGCGAGGCCGAGTGAACGCGAGGCCGAGTGAGCGCGTGGCCGAGTGAACGCGTGGCCGAGTGAACGCGAGGCCGAGTGAACGCGAGGCCGAGTGAACGCGTGGCCGAGTGAACGCGTGGCCGAGTGAACGCGAGGCCGAGTGAACGCGAGGCCGAGTGAGCGCGTGGCCGAGTGAGCGCGAGGCCGAGTGAACGCGAGGCCGAGTGAGCGCGTGGCCGAGTGAACGCGTGGCCGAGTGAACGCGAGGCCGAGTGAACGCGAGGCCGAGTGAACGCGAGGCCGAGTGAACACAAGCACCAGCACACCGGGTGCGTGCCTACACAGCCACTCGCCGCTCGGCACTCGAACTGCCACCACGACGCACACCTGCCTCTGTCCTGACCTGACAAAGACTCAATTCATTCACCAACATGAACATTGTGACCTCAAAGAGAATATATTCATGTATGGGCGGTACACCGGTGGTGCGCAGTACAAAAAAGTGAAACCTTCACGATAATTATTAATTTTCCGTGATTTGCAACCCCAGTCAGAAAATCTTGCGGGTGCGTCAAAATCAGTTCTTGTGATGTCGATGCGGTCAGAATACGAACGTTACAGGAGCAGCTGAAAACGAAGCTGCACGGTCTGTTACCGTACAGCAGCAGCACCCAGCCTGATAATTGGCTGGCTCCGTGTTGCAAAGGCAGCGAGATTTTACTCCTCGTGCCCCAGACTTGGTCGGACGATTCCTCGATTCATTTCCGGAATCGTTTCTTGGCGGACAGTGGCATCAAAAGATTACGACTCGTCGTGGTGTCACCACCACCGAACATTTGAATGGGAAAGCGGCTGCTGAATCTAAGGGGAAATTCTGATGGAGAGTCGGCAGCTCACTCGAGGGCAACACAGCGATATCGTCAGACTGGTTTTTGAGGACCGGTGTGTTGTGATGCTGCACCTGTGTACCGCCAGTGCATCCATATACTGGATGTACAGGTGATGTTTTAAGAAAAGACCATTCCTCATAGCGCATAGAGAGGGATGGAACGTATGACAGTTTGAGATTGCACCCCACGCAATCCCTCCGATGTCGTTATTGAATACCCTTCACTCAACTCGTAACTTTGTGCAACGTACTTGTAAAAAAAAAGATGTAACATAATTGGACACAATGTGCAACATTCTGACGTGAAGAAACACGATGCATAATTACTAATTTATTCACAGAGTGTACTGGGATCGCACGCATCAGCCTCGTGCGATATGCCTATCAGATGACTTGCGTACGCATTGCAGTAAGGCAGAAACAAAGTAATGATCTCTGTGAGAATGTAAACTGGCAATAAAAAGTCCCTCCAGCCAAGGTGCGCGTTGATTCATTTTAACTTATTAAAATATTTCACCTGGAAAATCCCTTGAGAGGGGACGTGTTGTATGCAAGAGCTGCAGCGGGTGCGGGTTGATGCACGCATAGCAAACAAGGCAGGGACACGTGTGCACGCAATTTTATGTTTATTTTGTGATTAATCAGGTCCTGTGGGTTTCCAGTTGAAGGAATATTTGGAAGTCACAAAGTCACGCTGGTAACCAAGGTCGATTGAAGCCTATCTACAGTAACCTATCACTGCCAGCAGGCACCACATTTACAACACCTAATAAAGTGGCTCTTTCGCAATTTGTTTTTAATATCTTTCCAAAATGCCATGTTAAATACCAATTACAAACGTACGTTTGTATTTTTCCACATAATCTATGCTAAAGATGAACGCACATATTTTACAAGTATGAATTATCATGAATAATGCATGTGTATGGCATTGGAATGCTTGTATTACGTGTTACGTGATCATGTTTTATTTTTACATGGTTATTTGAGCATATTTCATCTCACAATCGTTGCGTTGGTGGCGCCACGGCCTGTAATGCAGCACCGTGGAGACAGCGAGGGTTGGGGATCATTGCACGAATGCAGTGAAACTCCGTTCCCGTGGCTGTAAACGGGCGCCACGGTGGCGTGATGTTAACTACTTCGCCTGGTATACAGGAGGTCGTGGTATACAGGAGGTCGTGGGTTCCATCCCGACCCTGACGCCTTTTGTATATTTGGAGTCTGCATTTCTCTTTCCCCGTGGTCGCGTGGATTTTTCTCAGGGTCCTCCGGTTTTTCCCTCCATATTTAGAATCGACGTTCATTTGGCTCCTATAAATTTCCATGCAATAAGCCACTTCATTGAGCTATTATTTGTGGCCAGGTTGCTTCTGGAAAAGAGCTATATAGCTCGGTGGGCCTTACCTGGTAAAATACACATTGTTTAGTTTATTTTAAGTAACGTATGGTTTGTCACGTAAACAAAACATAACACTTGGAGGCACTTCTTTTATTTAACGAGCACCATCGGATTATACACACCCTACATGGGTACACACACTACAGTCACTCGCCTATACACAACTCTACGTGGGTTGCTAGCCTATACAAAACACTGTCTAACACTGACGGCGCTGAACCGAGACAGCCAACAACTATCTAGCAGCGGAATATCGAGTGACCACGACAGCGACGATGGCGACGAGATGACAGCATGACGAGGATCCCACTCCAGCAACAGCCACGAGGTCCCTCACAGGGGCCCTTCTTATACTCTAAGCGTGGCCTCGCTCCGTCCCGGCCACGCCTCCTCTCTGGAACATACTAGAGTTCCCGAGGCTTCCCGATAGGCCCCCCTCTGTGACCTTTCCCCGAGATGTCCCCCTCTAGTGTCTGTCATGGCCTGCTGACTTCAATACTGCTGTACACCGCAGTTCTCCTTTTTCGCCAGCAGCCAGCACGATGCCACTACATCACCCCCCCGCCCCCGTGAAAAAAAAACAGCCATCTCGGCAGACTGCAATCACATAAGGAGGGGGAAACTTACAGCATAAAAGGGAGGGTTAACAGACATCAGCAAAAAAAATATCCCTTAACTATTAACCCCGAACCGCGAGAGAAGCTAACAATTTACGACGTCCGCTGGCGCGCCGCAGCCCACGAGCATCGGGAAGCACCGCAGATCAGCCGAAAGCCACAGCCCGGCTCGCGGCGGTGGCCACCCGAAGGACGACATGCCTCGTCCCGCTCGCCTCCGCTGAAAAGGCGCCCCCGCCAAGGCCAGCAGCGCGCTCCGGAAGGCGTCTCGGCCTTCCCCCGCCTCCACAGCACAAACCTTCGGCGCGCGTTGAAAATGGTGGCCATCTGAGCGTATGCCCGAGGCGAAGTCGCAGAGCCTCCTCGTCAGACCACCTGACCAAGGTGCAGGCCGCTTTGAAGTGGCATTGAAATGCCGCCCCGTCGCCTCCCGCCGCCACGAATTCGCGGACGGGAGGCAGGTGCCCCCCGCCGAAATGGCGCCCCCGCGGAAGCCGCCGATGGCGACTTGAACTTGGCGGGAACCAGCCCTCAACTCTGCCGACAAAATGGCGGCCTCTTGCTGTGCCGCGACCGCGGCGGGCGAAATGGCGGTCGCTTGCGCGGGCGAAAAATTCGCCGGTTCCCGCACTGGCGTGGCGGTGGAAGGCGAGCCGTATGCCCGCCGCAGCCTCGGGACAGATGACCGGGGTCCTGGATCCCGGGGCTGTTGAGGGGATGATATCCCCGTCGTCCTCGTCCTCCGAGCATACTACCGGTGGGTTCTTCCTTTTCGCCGCTTGTGACATGACGAATTTTCTTTTTCTTATCACTTCTGATGCCAAATGTAGTGACTTACTAGGAGACGATAAGACTTGGAGGAACTTCTTTGAATTAACGAGCACCATCGGATTATACACACCCTACGTGGGTACACACTCTACAGTCATTCACCTATACACAATTCTACGTGGGTTGCTAGCCTATACAAGACACTAACTGTCTAACACTGACGGCGCTGAACCGAGACAGCTAACAACTATTTTGCAGCGGAATATCGAGTGAAGACGACAGCGACGAGACGACAGCACGACGAGGATCCCACTCCAGCAACAGCCACGAGGTCCCTCACAGGGGCCCTTCTTATACTCTAAGCGTGGCCTCGCTCCGTCCCGGCCACGCCTCCTCTCTGGAACATACGAGAGGAGTTCCCGAGGCTTCCCGATAGGCCCCCCTCTGTGACCTTTCCCCTAGATGTCCCCCTCTAGTGTCTGTCATGGCCTGCTGACTTCAATACTGCCGTACACCGCAGCTCTCCTTTTTCGCCAGCAGCCAGCACTATGCCACTATACTAGTAACGAATTGGCATCCTTTGTGTACGTAACAAACCTTACCAATTGACTGTGTCGGGTGGTGACAGGTTTAACGACACATTCATATTTACGCGATCTAACCCAAAAACCTCTTATGGATAACAGTGGTCGCAAAAGGCTACGTGTTAAACGAAGCTTGAGGAATAGAGGCACACACAACTCACTGGTTCCAAACTCTACTGACATCTCTCCCATGCTCTGCTCTCCCGTCTGACTCCACTCCCTCGTCGTCACGTTGTCGCATGACATTCATTACATCTCTCTTTTTGACATCAAACAACGGTCACTGCATCGTGCGCTTTCAGATGCGCTTCTACAGCCATCTGGAACACTCTTCCTTCTGACATTAGGAAGCTACGGGAGCTATGCACTTTCAAATCTAGATTGACAAACTTGATTTTATAATAGATTTTTGTGTTTAGTTTGTAATCCTTCCTCCGCAACTGAAATTAGCACGGTTGGCTACGTACGGTCTGACAGAAGTTCACCATACATACATAATCATAAAAAAACATCAACGTTAAATATAACCAACCCAAAGTAACTAAGTAATACGAGGGAACACCATCGCAGTGCTTCCATTTATGAAATGTAACTTTATATTTCAAACTTAAACACATTCACAGTAATAATCGAGTGCTTGAGGGAGTGTGAATGTACGTTGTAAGCACCACGCGAATGGCACTGTAACAGAACAGGGGTGGAACTACCCTCTCTCTAATGCTGATGGTACTTTGAGATGGGGATTATTTTGCCCCCATTCTTATCAAGGTGGCACGGTCCGTTCAGCGGCCACCCAGCTCTCGTGCTGGTTATGGATGCCTCATTGGCGTTTGGCCGAGGCATTCCTGCTGGCATCACCTCTGCTAAAGTGCTGGACAGCTGTTGACCAACAGGACCGGACCTGCCTTGCAAGGACGCCCGTCGCAGTAAACACTTCCCTGGGCTTGCAATGAGGGGACCAGTGCCCTCTACCATGCCTTCAGTTACACTGATGGGGTTTGGTGCAGGCGTTGCTGTCAGGTGCAGTCACATGGGAGCTTAGTGCTACCCAGGAAGCTAGTGGCGCCAATTGAAGAACTTGTGAGCCTTATCAGTGGATAATGGGCACGTCCCGTCTATTTCGGGTTAAAAACTTTTGTCCGTCACGTGCCATTGACGTAGGACCTTGGAGAATCATGCTGCCCTGCCACTATTCTCCACGTCCAATGCTTGTTTCTGGGCAATGGTGCCATGCGGACTGGGTCTCTCGGGAGTAGAAGCTGCATGTCTAATATGGAGCTGACTTTATGTCAAAAGGGAGCTGGAGCCATCTGTATAATCCCCCCCCCCCCCCCAGGTGTGTTGAAGTTGGTGAGGAGGCTCGAAGATAGATAAGCATATCTAGAAGATAAACGAGCTTGATCTGGTTCTATGCTGTCATCTGTTACGTCACCACATGGCATACATTACAGCCTGCCAGGAGAAGGCGGTACAGCAAACATGCTCAATAATTTCACCTGTTCTGTCTGTATATGGAATAGAGTGTTGCCCCTCTCGCTTGCGTCGGTTTTCTTCCGGCGCTCAGGTTTCTGACTGCATGCGTAAACATTAATCAGATGAAAAATAATATAGACAAGACTCTAGAGCTTGGGGCGGGGGGGGGGGTGCTGACTCACCGTGTGGGTGCTGCCTTCCCGCTTGTCTATTATTTTGGATCGTCTGTGGTTCCTTGAACCTCAAGTCATTCTCGCTCTGCGAGAGTGAGCGAATAACTGTTCGCGGGGAGCACATTGCAAGTTTCAATTACTGGAGCGTGCAATGTGCACGGATGTCACGCACGGAGGAGTGAGAAACCACAGGCAGGCAGCAAAGAAGGCAGCCAGAATCCGCACCAACAATTGCCCCCGGCACTGTGGTCCTAAATTGGGATGTTTTGCCAACTCCATTCGTTTGAATACATGTTGGAGGAAAACCGGAGTACCCGGAGAAAACATACGCGTGTCAGGGGAGAGGTAATACTCAATCCCCATACAGATGGATTCCAGACAGAAATCAAGCCACGTGCTGTACTGACACACTCAGGCAAGCGAGGAGATGGCGACCTCAACAAACTCGGGTAGGAAGGGAGTTTCACAAATGTGTATGATCCACCAAACCTGGCCTCCACAGTCCTGGATCATGAGCAGAACAGCCACAAGCGCCACGGAATAATAATGGCCTAGGCTACAGTTACGGCAATTAATGATAAAAGGGTAGGGACCCACCTTGACTCATCTTCCACCAGATCCTTCAGATTCAGTCCCGTTCTGTCCTCAACCAGGTTCTTAAAGCAACTGTCACTCACTGCAACAACACCACACCACACACACCAATTACACGGCACAATCGTTAGCGTCGCTGTGGAAAATATAGTACCAAAATAAATCAGCAGACATTAACATCGCCTACACACGTATGTCCCACCAAGTAAAAAATACATTAAATATTTTTTTTTGTTCAAGGTTCAGTGGCTCAGGGTCACCACATTTTCCACAGACCAAACCCGGGCACATCTCTCAGTCAACCATCGTCTATTGGAACTGTGCAGTCAAGTGCATTAAAGTTCAACAGCACCAGATCTTGGAACAAAATCAATTCCCAGACAGTCTGGGTGAAGCCCAAGTGAAGCCCAGGTTGAAGCCTGGACAGGTGATGACCCTAAGCCGAGTCAGAGCCACAATAAGGCACCCACCGCTAAGCACTCTTTGTTAGACAATGTTTTTTGCATGTTGTAATTGACATCAATTAACCAGGTTAGAGCCTATTAGGGTCATCTCCTTATAATTCCGTCTGTTATTTAACCCAATGACAGCTAATTGAGATTAATCACCTCTTTTTCCAAGGGAGGCTTGAAGTGCCAGTACAACTATAATGCGGTCCAATCATAGTTTTTTTTAGTGTGGTGATTGTGGCAATGTGAATTAAAATTACGCCGATTCTGATGATTAACCCGATCATGACTTTGCTAATAATGAGGGTGATTTTAAAACTCGTGGATTGCATTCAACGTAATGATACTAATCAACACCGTTGAGACTAAGGGAGCCTTCACAGCGACATTGTGCTACATTTCCACTGTGCCAGAGCAGGCCATGGTGGCACCTCAGGCTACTCCAATAAGAAGAATAGTTTCAATAGCCAGAGTCAAAGTGATTTCCTGCTGATATAAGCATTGAGGTGGCACTCATCCCGTTGTTTACAGCCCCAAGCCAGAGGTGGAAATTCCACAATCCTATGGTGGGGTGCAACTTTATCCACAGGACAACCACTAGCCCACAAAGTTGTACTCATTTAATGAATGACGGGCCAAGTCAACCCCCCAAAATCAGGATTTGAACTCACAACCTTCCGCTTGCGAGCTGCTCCCTCGACCAATGAGGCACCTTGGCTGGGCACTTTGATATTATAGGAGATGTGAAGCACCAAGCAGAGTGTGCCTATGATTTTAAATTCGTTTCTTATAAGTCGTGACGCTCTAGTCGCATCAGCAGTTCAGAATGCACGGCCTAGGCACAACCAATAAAACTAATAGCGGTATACTTGTGTGTCCCGTCCTCCTTTGGGACATCATTAAGGATCGCTGTTGTATTCAAATTTGCTGACATCGCAACTGTCACCACGTGAAGGTTTCACAGCAGTGGGAATTGCTGGCAGCTTTAATGAGGCCCTGTTCGGCACAAAACATGCCCAACGCATCGCCCGATGGCTTGTCCACGTGGCGCAGTGGTACGGCGAGTGACTCGCAATCCAGGAAATCACTTTGACTCTTGACTTGAAAACAGCACGCGGGTCACGACCTGCACCCGCAACCTCCCCAACATGGGCTACGCACAGTGCCTTTGTGCTCGCCCGTGCTCTGCTCTCACAGGGCCCCACGAGCTTGACGTGGCCGAGGGCCACATGTTTGATAACCCTGCTGCGGAATAAGAAAATAAAAGCACATCTTGAAAGATGTTGTTGGCTTCTGATGAAAGGATGCAGGCATTTTAAAATCGTGATACCAGAATATATGCATGTATCTTATAGAACTTATAGTGCAAGTCAGAACCCCAGCAGAATTCATATGGAAACATTTCAGGGCATTGATGTCACCAACTGCGTGTGGTTTCTCTGTGCCCACTGTGCGATGGACATGTTATAGAAACCTCTTAGTCGGGTCTCTGACCAAAACTGGATAACACATGAAGCTACGTAAAGAAGTAACTGCATGCAACTTTATTTTACATCCATGCACGTTATTAATAAGATGATATGCCACGAGTGCATAATGAAGGCATATTCATTCGTGTTTTAGTCCTTTGCATACACACCGTACATTTCCTCCAGGCAAGTGACTGCCGCTGCATTTACTTTAGTATCGCACTTTTCCAAAAGTACCCAAAAATGTTTGATTTGTATTCCATGCCTGAAAACAAACACTCATAGGCCTTGCAAAGTAGGAATAGGTTGTACCCTTTCTGGCAATAAAACAGGTGTTAAGATGTTAAAGCACCAAATATAAACCTTTTGCAAGCAATCAATTGATTCCTTTTGCAAGGAATCAATCAACTCCTAGGCCTAGCTTCAAAAACAACAAGTGCATAAATTTTGCACCTCATTTCAAAGTGCTCAATAATGTGTACGTTTACAGTTAGGCATAAAGTCGACTCTTTATACCAAAATTCAGCTCTCGAGCCCCCCTGGAGCATCATAGATTGTACATCACTCACTTGAGACCAGTTACATTGTTGTTGCGACTGTGCAAGGCCTGGTTATTGTATTAAGAACGGTATTTCCTAAGGGACACTTTTTCCTGCATAACAAACCATCTTTCAAACTATTTTCCTCAATATTCTTAAGGCATCGCGCAACCCCCCATCACCGACGGCAAATTTGTCAAGTCTACAGCAGGATGTGAGCAATGCCTGGAACAACAGCAAGGTCTCCAACGCTGCCTACCCAGCGTCGTCCAACCAACGGCAAGCCTGCGCTCGGTCGAGGTTCCAATGTATTTAACGACCCGCAGAGGATTTACGCGATCAGCTGCACGGGTGAGAGAAGAGCCCTGGGTTGTATACATTACAATTTATTTCGGTTTTCAGCAAACGATGAAGGGTGCTCCTGCAGAGGGACGAGCCATCGACCAGGGGGTCCCGGGAAATCCTCTAAGCGCTGCCATAAAAAAAAAAAAATTCTGTGCTAGTGTAAACCAGGGAATCGAACCAAACAAAAACCTCTAACCAAAAAAAAGGCTTGAAGCATTAATTTTTCCCAAACTGAAACGAATTTTTTTTAAAATCCAGAATGACCTTATACAAATTTGAGATGTAGTTACCAATTTAAAACAGTTCAATAAATACATGTATATTGCGCTTAGCAAAAAAAATTGTAATTAGATCAAATCTTTTTCATATTACACAGTATTTTTTTTCTTTTATGAGGGTTATTATTTATGACAGCACGCACACGTTGTGACGTCGCACGCACACGGCGTGACGTCATGCACACGTGGTGTGACATCACACACCGAGTAACGCTGCACGCGTCGGGAATGGTGATGAGGCACGGGAGGTGCTGTGACTGTGAGCGTCCTGCTCTCTTCACCCAGGGCCACTGTGAGACACCCACGTGACTGTCAGCGCCATCGTTCTGCGTGGCATCTCTCCACTACCACCATCCGCACACACACCCTGGCTCCTCTCATTTTCCTCCCGCATCACACTAAATGACCACCATTGGCAGGTGTTGCGGAGAACACGAGTCATAAAATAAAGAAATGAGGAGACAATTTGCTTCCTTCACATATCTGTCCCTGCACATTAAACTTCGGTTGTTTTTACACATTCCATCAGCCACATGCCCTTCTGGTGAGTTAATTCAGAGATTCAACATCGCATCAGTAGAATCAGACTTGCTTAATCGCTCTAAGAAGGAAGTGTGACTTTTGGGATGTGTAAAAAAAGACTTTTACTTTTTAAGTGGAGGGACAATTAATTATAACTGGTGTATTGAGAGACACACACACAAGCTCATGCTGGAACGCAGACACTCCTCTTGCTTGCCCCCAGCTTTCCCTCAAGGACCTCGCCCCGAGACACTCTCACCATGTACATTATTGGCCTTCAAAAGAAACGCCTTGCTCTGCCTCTTACTGTTAGCGTCTCCATCTGCTCTGCGTGCTTCTCCTGATAATAGGAGAGTGAGAGTAGGTATGGGAGAGTGAGAGTAGGTATGGGAGTGTGAGTGTAGGTATGGGAGTGTGAGTGTAGGTATGGGAGTGACTGAAAGTTGTTATTGGAGAGTGAGGGTTAATGGAACATAGAGATTTTTGAAACTCCAAACCCTGAATGGTTGTGAAGTGGCCAGGAGAAGGAAGTCGGGCAACTGAGGAAGAGATGGATAGATCCACTGAGGGATAGAGATGCAGACACACGTAGGTCCACTGCAATGATGCAGCAATTGCCTTTCTACTAAAGTTCCTGTGTCTCACTCATTTGTTCAGCATTCATGCTTAAACCGACAATGTTTAAAAAAAAAATACAAACAAAACATCTCGAATGGGCACTGCGTCTGTGCCCAAACCGAGTGTTCCTCTTTCTCTCAGCGTCACCGCAGCATGAGCCTTTCCGTGCATCTCCACATTACTCGGCGTGTGCTCCATTCCATTTGACAGTGACCACGTTGCTTCGGATACACGTCATGGCAAGTCGTGTGCACCGACTGAAAACTGTCTCCACGAGGTGCATTGCCGTGTTCCTCTCAAAATAAAGTTCAGATTTCGAAAGGCACACGAACCCACTCTCATCCACCTCTTTATATCAACATTTTGAGTTAGCGTCACCTTCAATCAAAACTTAACTATTTTTTATTTTACCAGGTAAAACCGGCTGCGCTATAGAGCTCTTTTTCAGAAGCGACCTAGCTACAAATGATAACTCAAACGAAGTGGCTTATCACGTGGACATTTAGAGCAGCCATATTCTCTAAAAGCACGTTTCTCAATGCGTAGGGGAAAAGCGGATGACCCAGAGAAAAATCCACACGCCCACCATGAGAGAGAGAGGCACGCAAATTCCAAATATTCAGCAGCAGGCGTCAGGGTCGAGATCGAACCGACAACCTCCTGTATACCAATTGTCGCAGCAGACAAACCCTGGCGGTATTCTCCGGTCGTCTCTCAGTGCAGTTGCTCATGGTTCAGTGCTCATGGTTCAGTGCCCACGTGACTTTTTCCTCTGCTCGCATTTATCTTACAGTACCTCATTCCCAATGGTTTGCACAGTGAAACATCTGATATGTTATTTTATTAATATCTGCCTTTATATTCGTGACTTTATATATTTTTTCTGAAAATGTCTTCTAATATGCCTGTGAATGACTTGGTTTGAAGCATAAATCCTTGCACGACTCCTCTTGTGATATGAAATTTGTTTCTTCATGCCATCTTAGTCAAGCTTGTTCCATCCATGTCTATTTTGTTTAGGTGATTTAAATCAAGTTGTGCTAAAATTATATGAACTTTCATGTTCGAATATATACACATCGTCAGACTGCTCTGCAGCCATTGCAGCGATTGTCAATTTGGCGTTACTGCTGCCTTCATGAGGTTTACAAACCGAAACACTTTAAACATTTCAGTGTGCTTAATTGGCTGTCACCGTTCATTCGAGTTTAGGAGGATGAATGGCTGGCAATCGTAATGCAGAAATGAAGGCCTCCCTCCTCATCTCTCACGGTCTCGCGATGAGGCAGACATCTATCCGGCTGCTACACGCAAATTCACCGCTCCATCTCCACCAGCGAGCATCTTCCCATCCAGTGACGCGTCCTGCCCAAGCCCAATCCATGAACGGTAAATGTCTTTAACGTGCGCGTGTTCTCTGATGCACGCGTGGCTCTTCCGTGCGATTCCACAACATTTATAAATCGAGTACGACGTTTGGCCGGTAATTACAACAACCAGCCTCATCAACCAATGTCTCATCAACCAATGATCCATATGGCAAGCAACAAGATAGGTAAGCAGACAATGTCTCCTCCGCGCATCTGTCCAACCGCATCAAAACAAGCAAAAGCATTTTCACTCGAAATGTCCAAACCCCAAGTGCGTTTACTTGAACCAGGGGAGAGCTCAAGAGACCAGGAGAGTCCAATTTGCAAGAATGACCTGCGTCAGCACCATAATGATAGCAGCAGCGACGACGACATCACGACAGCGTACAACAATTGGGCCAATTAGAATTCGAGGGAAAAACAACCTGAAAAGCATCGGGAACAAAAAACCACGTTCCAAAAGAAGTAAAAAAAAAAGTGCTCACACATTCATCAAGATGAGCGGACAAATCCCTTCCTTGGCAAATCTGTACATCCTCATCAAAAGACAAAGAGTGTGTCTACAGATCCCGACAGCCTCACGGCCTTCTTTTGGGGAGTGCATAAATTCAGCATCATTGGTTCAATGCAAGCAAACTCTAGACCGGTTTCAACACGCAAGGTCTTGTCAGCAGTTGGGCTTGCTTGAACCGATGCTGGTGAAAAGATAGAGATGATTTTGTGTATATCTCAGAGCGGGTAACATGCACCGATTAAACACGATCCTGTGCTGGCACGTGTATGTGTGCAACGTGAGGGTACGTGTTGTGCAGGCACGCGTGTGTGTATGCATTGTGAGGTTACGTGCAGCGAGGCACGTGTAGTGAGGCAAGTGTTTGTGCTGTGTGAGGGTACGTGTTATGCAGGCACGTTTATGGGTGCAGCAGGGACGTGCGGTCAGGGCCTCCCCTGTCATACTCCAGGTAAAACTTATTTCACGTATGTGTATAGAGATATTTAGGCTCGCTGGTCTCGTCATGAAACTGCAATGAAAAAGCACCAGGGGAGGCAGCTATCACATCTGCCTCACTGAGGGGGACGTGTCTAACACGCCCCCACTCAGTGAGGCCACGCCCCCTCCGTGAGGCCACGCCCCCCTCAGTGTGCGAATCCGGCTCTGACACTAGCCAGTGCCTCTCCAGCCATTGACCTCACTGCACGTCACTGGTGTGTAGTGTGAGGGTACGTGTTGAGCAGGCACGTGTGTGTGTGTGCAGTGTGAGGGTACGTGTTGAGCAGGCACGTGTGTGTGCAGTGTGAGGGTACGTGTTGAGCAGGCACGTGTGTGTGTGTGCAGTGTGAGGGTACGTGTTGAGCAGGCACGTGTGTGTGCAGTGTGAGGGTACGTGTTGAGCAGGCACGTGTGTGTGTGTGTGTGCAGTGTGAGGGTACGTGTTGAGCAGGCACGTGTGTGTGTGCAGTGTGAGGGTACGTTTTGAGCAGGCACGTGTGTGTGCAGTGTGAGGGTACGTGTTGAGCAGGCACGTGTGTGTGTGTGTGTGCAGTGTGAGGGTACGTGTTGAGCAGGCACGTGTGTGTGTGCAGTGTGAGGGTACGTGTTGAGCAGGCACGTGTGTGTGTGTGTGCAGTGTGAGGGTACGTGTTGAGCAGGCACGTGTGTGTGTGCAGTGTGAAGGTACGTGTTGAGCAGGCACGTGTGTGTGTGTGTGCAGTGTGAGGGTACGTGTTGTACCGGACTGCGTTGCGGGTGGCGCTGTGCTGGGGCAACGCCACTCGCAGTCTCAAGGTTGCCAATCCATCACCATGCCGGGGTCGTTAAGCCAGCTACCACTTAGTGGGAAATCAACAGCGGTGATCTCACAGAGAACCTGGCCCCGCCATACCAATGTGGAATGTCCTCCTCTCGCCAAGGCCTGCTGGGAATTGCACCGATTCCGCGCTCGTTTGACAACGGACGCTGTCGCTGTGACCACGATGCGTGGTGGTGCGATATCGCTGGAAATCTCAACGTTCATCCCACAAAGTGCCATCGCAAGGGAGAAACACAGACAAAAAAACAATGTTTCTTGGCCCCTATTGAAACGTCTGTACGCCGCATGGCCCTGCCCTGCATGAGAATCGGGAGTTTGAACCTTGCGGGTTCACGCGGTATCCAGTTGCCTACACGGACAACGTGCACGTGACGAATGCCATCCTGTGCACGAACTCGCGCTACAGAAATAACGATTCGATGGATTGATGACGCGCTACAGAAATAACGATTCGATTGATTGATGACGTGCTACAGAAATAACGATTCGATTGATTGATGACGCGCTATAGAAATAACGATTCGATTGATTGATGACGCGCTACAGAAATAACGATTCGATGGATTGATGACGCGCTACAGAAATAACGATTCGATGGATTGATGCCCGGCACCCCCCTGGACACACTTCACGAAGTGTAGACGCAGTCAGACTCCCGACGGAAGCTCGGGAACGACGTCAATGGCAAGCGATTTACGGGGTCGCAGTAGTCGTGGGCTGTTGTTGTTGGTGGTGGTGGGGGTGGTGGAGGGGGGGTGAGAGTCGACGGATAACGAGGTAGAGGACGGATAACGAGGTAGAGGACGGGACGATGAAGCCAGCGACGTAAGCGCGGGTTGAGGCGAACGCGCAAATGAGGTCGTGGCGGTGTTGATCAAAGTGACGGCGTGTTTGTGAAACGGCGTTGCATGGCGGGGGGGTGTGTGGAGGAAAGATTCAATCTGCCTCTGGCCGGCTACAACTATCTGAATGTGCGCGCACACAAAAGAGGCCTCCACACCGGCGTTGTTGCGGCTCCTCGTGTCGGGAGCAGGCGGAGATCGCGACCTCCTCATCGCCCGGAATGCGCCCCCCCCCCGTGTCTCCCCCCCTGCCCCCCCCGTGTCTCCCCCCCCCCGTGTCTCCCCCCCCCGTGTCTCCCCCCCCCCGTGTCCCCCCCCCTGCCCCTTCCCTCCTCGCTGCTCCCCTCACAGCCCCCCCCCCGCTAGCCGCCACGCTCGGCCTCGCCGGTGGGGACGGGGGGGGTCCTCACCTGATTACAAATCGCGGCACCTGCGCGCGCGTGCGTGCGTGCGCGTGCCCTGTGCGCGCGCGTGCTCTCCACCACGGGCCTCTCTCTCCCTCCCTCTCAGCAGCCAGGAGGCTGAGCACCATAAATCATGAGCGGCAACAGCAGCCGCCTGTCACCCCCCCCCCCCTTCACCCCACGCCTGTCCCCCCATGTCCTACAGCTGCAGCCACAGCGAGCGCCGCGCTCAAAACTCGGGGTCCATCCTCGAGAAAGCAGTGGGACATCCCCCCCCCATCGCCCCCCCCCATCGCCCCCCCCCCCATCTCCCCATCGCCCCCCCCCCCATCTCCCCATCGCCCCCCCATCCCCCACCGCCGCCTCTGCTGCATTGGCCGCACTGGCCGGGCCGTGCTGCCCAACTGTTCGTGCGCCTGCTGTTAATGCGCGGCGCCAATGAATTAAATAATAATTAAATAATGATGGTTAAATATTAATTAAATAACCCCCCCGCATCCCCCCCCTCCTCCTCCTCCTCCATCCAGCAGCGGCGGCGTCGACGCGGCGCCAGGGGAAGGAGGAGAGGGCGCCGCCGACGTTGCCGCTGCTGCTGCTGAGAGGGAGGGAGGCAGAGAAGCCGGGGCGAAGAGGAGGATGAGGAGGAGGAGGATGAGGAGGAGGAGGATGAGGAGGAGGATGAGGAGGAGGAACTCGCCGTCTCGCTCACCCGTGAGGATGCCCACGCGGATCTGGAAGCTGTGGTTGAAGAGAATCTGCCCGTCCGCGGCCATCATCATCTTCCCTTGCAGCTGCAGCGGCGGCAGCGAGCGGCGAGCTCCGCAGCGCGGCGCGTGACGTCACGGCTGCTGCTGCTGCTGCTGCGAGTCCCGGGGCAGCGGCGGCGGCGGCGGCGGAGCTCACCAAGGGGCAGCGGTCATTTTGCGTCGCGAGTTCGCTCTGCCCACAGCCCTCCCCCCTCGTCCCGCCCCCTCGTCCCCCCTCGTCCCGCCCCCTACCCCCCTCGTCCCGCCCCCTCGTCCCCCCCTCTCCGTCCCCCCCTCTCGTCCCGCCCCCTCCCCCACTCGTCCCCCCTCACGTCCCCCCCCCTCTAGTACCCTCCTCTCGTCCCCCCCTCCCCCTCGCCCCCCCTCCCCCCTCCCCCTCGTCCCCCCCCCCTCGTCGCCCCTCCCCCCAATTAGAATGACTAATGGGGCCGGCCTTAATAACCGACGAACCGGTAACTGATGGCCGTGAACCGGTAACCGTTGTCAGAATCAACACACACACACATCAATAGCACTGCCTTAAAAGGGAACATATAGCAATATAAACCGTATAGTTAGGCAACGTTTCGAGCAATGGTGCTGCTTCACCGCACACAAATAAAGAAGCCAGAGCGACAATGGATAATAGAAGTTGGAGGCTGCACTTCACACCAACAGGGCCGAGTAAGAAGGCGAAATCCGTCGATATTTATGTCATCATCACCGGAATACAGCAATTTGTATTTAAAGTTACATTATACATTTAATTTGAGCGTATTTGACCTGAAAAGTGTAATATAAACAAATGTGTGTTCCAACGGAGGTGACACCGTATACGGCCTTAAAAGGTGATAAAGGTTTGTCTAGCACTCAATCATACAGCAGAAGGGCATCCGCCATAGGCATCTCTGGAGGGCATTTGATCTCCTCTTCCACACTGACCAGGCGTGGTGATAGAGGTGGACACGGTACTTACACTTCACCCCCACCACACGTGAATGCTGATAAGCTAACTGGTGCACTTATATTGAACACTTGTGTTAACACCATCCGGGACGATGTCAGACATTCTTCACATGCCCACCGCCGTTCCGGGAGATGGAATGAAACCGGCGCCCGCTGGCTCGCAAGTTCGGCGTACGACTGATTTATGGGCCGTCCATAAATGACGTCACGTGATTTTGGACGTTTTTTACCCCCCTCCCTCGTGACACGACGTCACAAAAAGTCAGACCCCCCCCCCTCAAATGACGTCACAAAGCTCTGCCCCCCCCCCCCCAATTTTTTTTAAATAAAACATGGTTCAAATCGCTATAAACTATTGTCATCGTAGTGCGTATTTATTGTGGCGCTGCACTCTGATGTAGGAGAAAACATTTATTAAAACGTATTTAATTAAGTAGAAGGTGTTGTCTATATTTATTTAAAGTTGCGCATTTTGATGTGACGTCACATTTCTCAAACCCCCCCCGTCGTCACAAATGTCTGACCCCCCCCCCCCCAGGTGCGTGACGTCATTTATGGACGGCCCCTTAACAAATATCACGAGAGAGCTCCCTCCGATATAGAGCGCACGGTATCCCATCTCAGACCGTGAAGGGGCACCCCCAGTGACAGCTGTCCCTGTGGGCACCAAGGTTTACCCGTATGAATTCGTCTGCCAGCATGTGGCGATGCTTGCCAGGGTGATTTTCACAAATCCGGCTGTCCGCCTGATGAAGCTAGTTGTAATTACTGGCGAAACGTCGGACTCAAGATTGTAAACGTTGCCGATTTGCTCACCAACACACTGGTGTGCTGTCCTCGTAACGAATTGGCACGTTACGCTTACGTTAACACACCTTATAAATTGGCTGTATCGGCTGGTGGCGGGTTTAACGACACACATTCAGGCGATCTGACCCTACACAAACCTCTATCGTGGGTGATTTTAGAATTTGGCAAATGTGGACCGCATTGAAACCAGCGAGAGACGCCAGGGGGGCCTTGAAGGGCCACTGTGAAGGGCCACTGTGAAGGGCCACTGTGAAGGGCTACTGTGAAGGGCCACTGTGAAGGGCCACTGTGAAGGGCCACGTGTCAGCACTGCGTCGTCACTACTCCCACGCACACAACCATTACTTAGGGCGGTCGCTGCAATCGAACCCTTAACCTCTGTAGCAAGCGGAAATCGCACTACCGCTAGGCGATGTTGCTACTACTTAATAATGCTCTTTGGTTTTATTCGGTAAAGTCACGGAGGTAAAATAAAAGAAAACAATGAAATCACGACGTTTCGGAGGCAACACAAGCTTCCGTCTTCAGGTGAAATAGTCACAGCAGAAAAAATCTGTGTAAAGTAGACAGCTCTGAGATGATCGACTCCTCCCCCGCCCTTAACCTATATATAAACCCGACTATTCCACCTGAAGACGGAAGCTTGTGTTGCCTCCGAAACGTCGTGATTTAATTGGTTTATTTTATTTTACCTACGTGGCTTTACCGAATAAAACCAAAGAGTATGAATCCTTGCAGTCACGAAAGCTTCACATCTAGAATTACTTGTTAATGATTATATCACGGCAGCCACCTTAATTGTAGACTGGTTTATTTAACCGGTAAAAAATGAGCCTCCTCTGGAGGACGAAATCGATCCAGAGCCAGCTTTGTTGAACCAACCAACGCTTCTGAAAGTTACGTACGCACTCCGGTGGTTGTGTAAAGTAAAATAAAGACAACTCGTGTATATTTACGTTAAAGAGGCGAGCGATTGCGTTGTTCAAATAAAGCATCGAGGAGGCGGTGCTCTCACGCGTTTTCCAGTCCCGGGCCAGCGGTGGATCGTGCCTCGTTCCTTTGGCGGGGCGACTCCAATCACCCAACAGGACACATCGCCGTCTATTGCAGTGTGGTAGGTCGCACCACGGGGAAGGAGGCGGACAATTAATTTCGTTCCTCTGACGAATTAAATTCCGTTCCTTCGCCACTCTGTGAGAGAGGTGGGGGCCCGTGTGAGGGAGGAATGTCCGGGCTGCCCACACCACCACCACCACACCGCCGCCACCACCACCACACCACCACCACGCCACCACCACCACACCACCACCACCACACCACCACCACCACCACGCCGCCACCACCACCACACCACCACGCCACCACCACCACACCACTACCACCACCACGCCGCCACCACCACCACCACCCCACCCCCACCACCACGCTTCCACCACCACACCACCACCACACCACCTCCACCACCACCACCACCACGCCACCTCCACCACCACGCCACCTCCACCACCACCACACCACCACCACACCACCTCCACCACCACCACACCGCCACCACCACCACACCACCACGCCGCGTGGCCCTGCCGCAGCGGGGGTGGGGGCCGCGCTGGTGAGCCGGAGCGAGGGGATTAGCCGAGGGGGATTTCAACCCCCGGATCAAGCGGCCTTGGGGCACATTGTTGGTGGTGGGTGTTGGTGGTGGCGGTGGGAGGTTACATTATTCCGCTGCGTTTTATCTCGATAAACGCCACAACCACCGGCTTCCCCAAATGCCGCTGTCAAATAACACCAATGGCCGGATGACAATAGTTATTTTGTAAGAAGCACTCTTTATATCTTTTGTATAATAACCCTTTACATTTGAGCGTGTCTCAATGGTATAACGTAGGGGCAGATAGACGATGCTGCCTCTTGCGTTGAATTCAAATCGTCCGACCCCGGGACCCAGCTCCTGCGTCTGCCTCCATCCTCGCCGCGAGAGGCGCCATTCACACGGGGAAGAGTCATGACGCCTGACGCCTGACGCCGGACAGAGACACAGGTCCCCCGTACAGCCGCCAACAGACTGTTGGGGCAAGTGCTGTTAGCGAGTAGTACAGCACCTACAAAAGGCCAACAAAGGCGCACGAGAGGGTGGGTGGTCAGCACCACGCCCGACCGTAATGTGCCTCTCCAATGCTGAGATCTATATACACACACACACACACCAGGTACTCATTTAAAGCTGAGTCGACCTAGGCGCGCAAGCACACACACACACACGAGTCCAGCACGTGCCGCTGGTACGCGGTCTGGTAAACCATTCGCGTCGCTGTGACGAATGTGCAGCGCTGCATGTTACAGACTAAACAAGGAGAATTCGACCCCACATCCAGCTCCTTGACTCCTCAAATCTGCCAAGTTTCGCCAACATTGATTGGGTTCAAACAAGCCGGACGGCTGACGAGACCCTTCGTGTTGAAACCGGTCTAGACTTTGCTTGCGTTCAACTAATGCTGCTGAATGTGTGCACTCACCTGAGGAAGGCCGTGTGGCTGACGGGACGCGCACACACACACACTTGTGTCTTTTTGTAGATAATGAACAGGCTTGTGGTGGAGGCGAATCGTCGACTCCTTTAGACGTTTTAGCAGTGTTCAATCTCTTCTACAACGTGATGTTTGGTGTGGGGTTTTTTTTGTCGTGCGTTGTCACGATGTGACCCGGTGCTGCTATCATTTTGGCGACGGCTCAGGCAATCTTGCAAAATTGGTCCCTCGAGATCTCACGCCTGGTTCAACGAAACGCACTTGGGGGTTTGGACATTCCGAGTTACAATGCGTTTGCTCGTTCTGCAGTTGGACAGATGCGCGAAGAAGGCATCGTCAGCTTCCCTATCTTGTTGCTATGGCATGTGGATCAGAAACTTGAACACCGGCGATAAGCCAAGTCACTGTTGCAAATTTGAATCTCTCGTAAGGGGCCGTCCATAAATGACGTCACGCGATTTTGGACGATTTTTGACCCCCCCCCCTCGTCACACGGCGTCACAAAAAGTCAGACCCCCCCCCTCAAAAATGACGTCACAAAGCTCTGCCCACCCCCCCCCAAAAAATAAAACATGCTTCAAATCGCTTTAAACTATTGTCATTGTAGTGCGTATTTAATGTGGCGCTGCACTCTGATGTTGTAGGAGAAAACATTTATTAAAAAGTCTATTTAATTAAGTAGAACGTGTTGTCAATATTAAAAAGTTGCGCATTTTGACGTGACGTCACATTTCTCATACCCCCCCCTCTCGTCACAAATGTCTGACCCCCCCCCCCCCTCCCCAGGTGCGTGACGTCATTTATGAACGGCCCCCCAAGGGTATCTCGATCTGTAATCTCCCACGGTTCAACCGCGCCCCCTCGATGGGCTTTGGACATTCCCAG